CCCTTGTTCTCCAGCTTTGTTGACAATAACTGTGTGTATGTGTGTAAAGCAGAGAGTATAGAGAGATGGAGAGAGTTAGACAGGGTGAGAGAGAGTGAAAGAGGAAGAGGGGGGGCTCTGGAGAGAAATGCGTCTGCGGGCACTCTTGTCCTCCAAGCGATGGAGAGAGAGAGAGAGAGGAAGAGAGAGAGAGGGAGAGAGAGAGGGAGCCACCGAGGGGTGACACAGTGAGTCAACATCAGTGTCAAGTTTGAACTTAATGCCAGCAAGAGGAGGAGGGGAGGCCGAGAGAGTGGAGCATAAAGCACAGATAATAGAGAGATAGTGGATGATAAATAGAGGATGGATTCAATTTTAACCATAAATTGCACTTAAAAACAAAGTATAATTGGCAGTCAAGTGTGTTTTTTTCACACAAACACACGTGCAACCAGTCAACTTATATTATTAGATTAAACTCAAAGTTCACACTAACAAGGACTCATTTTCAATGGTCCTCATTTGGATGTTTTAAAACTTTGATAAAGCTTTGACATGTCCACATGCATCTGCTATATTGTAAAATAAAACATTCAGCAACTGCACACAGAAGCAGATATTTTTGGGCAAGAAAAAAAAGATAAATTATTACAATTATTAAAAAACGGATACTATTATTATTATATAGATTTTAGTATGTGTTTAAGACACTGAAGATTTATAGTTGTAATGTTTTCCAATCTATTTGAAACACTGATAAACTACAAAGAAGGAAAAAGCATGTTACAAAAGATCATGGTACCGTCTGTATCATTAATAAAACTTGTAAAAAATATAGTTACCACACAGTTATTAGGTAAATATGAGTAATACTTTCATTGAATTATTTCTTCACATTTTTCATTTGATGTAGCATCTACCAATGTAATAAAGATGTTAACGTCTCCAAAGATAACACTAAACCCTATCCAGATGTGTTCAATGAAGATTAGTAATGAATTTGTTCATTAACGTAGCAAAAACTAAACATTTTCATAATATAAAATAAAAAATACAGTATATATATATATATATATTACATTATGAAAATATTTATATAAAAAAGCAAAATTATTTTTACGGACGGCATCAGTTAAAGATGCAGTTGTAAGCTCTGCATTCGTTTGTCTTTGTTTCCATTATTGTCTACCAGTTTCTTTCTTCATTGTTCCATAAAACTGCAGAAAATATAGAATTTTCTTTGTTGCAATTTGAAGCTATATGTCTTCTTTTGGCAATCGGGCCAAAACCCAAAGATATCCAAAATTGCATTTACAATGATGTAAGAAAAAGCAACACATTCTCATAGTTGACAAGCTGCAAATGTTTGGCCTTTTTTGTTTGAAAAAATGTTGCAACGAATCAATGATCGAAGTTCTTTCATCTAATTGATTATTTGACAAACTGCATTTTAAGCTCTATGTTGAGCTCAGCCTCTTTTCTTGATCAGCTATTAAGCTCATAAGTATTGAGTTACTTAATCCCAGCACCAGTGTTTTAGGCCTACAATGCAGTAAAGAGGCTTTAAGTAGGCAGGTAAAGTTTCCACACAAGGGCTAAAATATGCACGTAGTTTAGGTAGCAGCGTTTCCCAGAGCACCTCACAACAGAGGTATTGTTCTCCTGCCATAAAACACGGAGCTTAAAGCTATGGGACAATAAACAAAGGCATTGTCTGGCCCCAGAGCGGGTTAAAGGAGCACCATACAGAAACCCTTGGCGATAGGCACACAAGGTCTGTGTGAGCCGTGAGTAATGACGCAGGTATGACGGTATGTATGATAGAGTCAAAGAGCGAGAGCAGAGTAGAACCGGAGTTTAAATTTATCTCTTTTGCAGCGGAGGGGAGAGAAGAAGCGAGAGATGGAAGATGGAAGCAGGGAGGCAGAGGAGAGAGATAGAGAGAGTGAAGAGGAAGTATGTGACTTTGGGGTGGGTGTTGGGGCTTGGGGATGGGGAGGGTGCCAGCTTGTTTTATTTCCGGTTGACAAGACTTTGCGCTCCCTTTCTCTCTGTCGCTCCCTCTCTCTTTCATACTAAGCTATTCTTTCTCCGCTGCCCCCATTGCTCACCCCCCCCCCCCCCCCCCCCCCCCGCCTTCTCTGTTACTTTCCTCCAAGATGTGCCTTGGAGAAAGGAAAGGACTTGACAAGTTCAAAGGTAAAAAGGAGCAAGAACAGTGGTGGAGGAAGCATTAACATGCTTTAATTAAGTAAAAGTACAAATGTGTTTTCAGCAAAATGTTCTCTCCATTATGCAGAATGACTACATATTATAATATATATTATAGCGTTATCATTGTTTTTTTGTTTTTGTTTTTGCCTTCATGATAGGAAGGCTGAAGACAGGAAAGAGGGAGAATGAGAGAGAGAGAGTACGACATGCAACAAAGTGCCGCGGGTCGGATTGAAACCTATGGGCTGCTGTTCTACCAGGTGAGCTGTACCGGGTATTGCATTATTATCATCATACATCAACATATACAGTAAGCAGCATGTTAATGTTCATAGCTGGCTGAGGTGGAGCTGATTTAAGCTCCTCTGTCCAAGGTTGGATGGATAAATCTATTTACGATGCTTTACAGGTTACAAGATCATGTGTAAAATTATAATCTGCATATTAACTGTCAAATACATGTATATGTGGAGTAAAAAATACAATATTTGCCTCAATAATATTAACTCTAGTAGAAGTAGGCTATTAAGTAGAAAAAATATATATTTATATCCATGCACAAGTACCTCAAAATTGTACTTTTGTAGAGTACCTATGAAAATATACTTGAACGTGAAAATGGAAACTAAGTGAGTGAAAGTTGAGTAACAAAACTACTTAGTTAATTAAACTAAACCAAAACAAATGTGTCTTTAACCCGACACACACCCTCATCATCCCACCCCCTTTGTTTCCTATCTGGCTATCCTATTTGTTTTTCCTTAATTCAGAAATCATTGTTGCATCTTATTGTGTTCCCGTTGTTGGAATGTGGCTTAACCTATGTGATCCCTATGTGCTGAGTGCAATAACGTGTGTGTGTGTGTGTGTGTGTGTTTGTGTGTGTGAGGCGGCGCGTGCTTCACTGCAAAGATTCATGTAGCTCCCGGACATGCATTTTTTTTTAGTGCATCTTGTTAGTTCATTCCTGTCACCTCTCTCTCCCTCTCTCTCTCTCTCTCTCTCTCTCTCTCTCTCTCTCTCTCTCGCCATCCCTTGCTTTTTCAGCGCTGAAGGGGGGATGGGGAAGGGGTGGTGGACGAGCCTGGGAGGGGAGGAGAGGGGGAGGCGAGGGCGGTGGAGGCAGTCACCATGGTTACAATGCCACGACAAATATTCATCAAGTTGTTAAAATAAAAACAAACTGGAGTGCATTATAATTGCTCTTACTGACTGGATCCTATAATGTGTTCATATATTATGAGTGAGATGAGCAGACTGGATGGGGCTCACACACAAAAAGATACTGTTAGTGATTTTTTTTTAAAGTGAATATCAGCTGACACATACGAGACACACACACATGTCAAGTGTCAGTGTATAACTTTATTTTACCATTACCTGTTTATGGAATTCCCTATGAGTACTTTGGCGAGTCTCTTTTCTTTTCTCTTTGTCCCTCCATCTCTCTCTCCTCTGCTGTTGTGTAGCCCGAGGCGATACTGTGATGTGTCCTCCCTCTGTCCCTCCCTCCCTCTCCCTCTCTCTCTGTCCCTGTCACCTTCAATTGCTCTGTGAAACTAGACACACTGCCTGGGGCAGGGAGGCAGGGAGGGAGGGAAGAGAGGAAAAGAGGAAAAGAGAAAGGAGAAACAGACCGACAGCTTTATAGACAGACAGAAGAAATAAACATTTGCTGTCATGAAAAATAAAAAAATAAATAGGGTAACCACAGCCCAGATGTGTGGCACACTCAATCAAATGAGTTGTGTTAATGTTCATAATCCAGCCCAAAACATACACTCAAAAGGATTAGCACTGGAAACATAAGAACGTACAATAAATTACACATATCTACCCAATTTAAGACAGTGTTTGACCTTTGACCTGGGTGGTTTATGCTGCGGCTTAATCCTACATGGATGCTCCAGCTCCGATAACCACGTTGCTTTTCCTTGAACAGATACCTGTTACTGGTTAATACTTTCCACCTGGAGCCTGGAACCTTTAGCATTCCTTATCACTACGAACACAGGCTACAGTGTGTCTAACGCATGGTTTTATGATTTGACATTGGTGGTTGTTTTTAACCAGAAATTGCTCACAAATATTGAGTGTATTGGCAGTCAAGTGTGTCTGTTCCTATAACACAAAAGCTGGAAACCAGACAAATTACATTATTCGATTAAACTGAACGTTCACATTTAAAGAGGTCATTTTCTTTGATTCATCATTTATATTTCTGCAACAGAGAGTTGATCCTTAAATCTCTGATAAAGCTTTGACATGTGCATCTGCAAATTCGTAGGAAACACAAGAATATGCAACATATAGGGAACAATAATTGATAATATTAGGCTTAACAACACATTATGTTGATATACTCATATCTGCTTAAGTCACTGATATGATGAACATGTCATATCAAAGACATTTTATACATCATCATATGAATACCCAAATAAATATAGAGAAAACATGCCATGTTGCATACATGGGGGTACTCCTTGTTCTCCCAAGTAAATGCTCCAATGCAACATGAAAACAGTTATGGACTATATGAACTATATAGTTAATATTAAAAACTGCATCACTTACCATTGTCTGGGATTGAGACCTGCATGTATAAACTGCTGCAGGCCTATAAAATATGGAAATGGCCATTTTGTCAGACGACAATTTCCATTTTATTCAAAAGTAATCTACCTGTGACCAGGTGCGCTCAATAGATGTCATTGGCTCAGGTGAATCAAGAGGGCGGGACAATAGTTTTGATTGGGTGTAGTTGTGTGCACAGTTAGCCGTCTGTTCAAGGCGTTTACCTGGAATCTACCTGAGACCTCATTCAGGAAGCCTGGATCCGAAGAAGGATATACTGTCGACAGTTAAACGCAAGGAGATGTAACCTTTTTTTTTTTTTTTTTACTTCGTGTACTGTTTCAGCTTCAGTCACAAGAGAGGAAGAAGACGTCGAAAGGTGGATTTAACGGTGTTTTTTCGTGACTTCAGAGATAACATTAATTGTTGGATCTGATTCAGTAGTTTGCTAAAACCGAAATTGGGGCGCGAAAACAAAATGTCGCCGAGAGTGGACTTTTATGCCATTTGTTGGTGCGTAACAGGTGAGTGTTAACCGTTAGCCCCCCTTACCTGTCCCCCCCGACCGTGTCTCCTGTTTCTTTGTCTACTGTAACGCATAGGCTACAATCGGCACTATAAACTACTTCATTGAACCAGATGTGTTTTTGTGTCGTATTGTAAAAAAACAATCCGCTGCATCGGTCGGAGCGTTCAGAAATGTAATCTGTGTTTACATTTAGGTTTTTTGGCTTCTTACGCCCAAGAATGTGGCCGACCACCGATAGTGGAGAACAGGATCGTGGGAGGGATGGACGCCATAGATGGCGCTTGGCCGTGGCAGGTGGATATACAGGTATGTCCCACTCAAAACTCCCACTAGCATCAGCTCTGCCTGTGGTTAAGTCTAGCTCTTCTTTATCATCTGACCTGCTGAGAGAGGGATTTGCTTGTGATGCTGAGGTGACTCACTGTTTTTCTTCTCCCCCGGCCTCCAGACATTCAGTCACATCTGTGGAGGCTCCATCATCACAGAGAACTGGATCCTATCAGCCGCTCATTGTTTCCCCAAGTAAGAGAACTCTCCTCGCACACAAACCTGCAGGTGAACTCACAGCTGAGCATCGCTGCACAGGCGCTCTGCTTCTTCTGTGAGCCGTCAGTCATTTTGCGGGATCTCTTTGCAGTGTCGTTAAAGCCCTGCAGAGAAATCTTCGAGCAACATTTGTTTAACATCCTTATTATTTATTTGGAAAACTTGCCTCCCTTATTTTCAACATCTAATTGATTCTTTCAAATTGTCAATTTCTGGCAAAGTTGCACACGAGGAAGAAGAACTATTCCCAAATCCTGCAGACCGTCGGTCGTTCATTTGGGTCATTGAGTTTCACTAGAAGACTGTCTAAGGACTAACATGTGTCTACTAGATTATGGTAAACATCAATCCCATTTCAAGGAGCACCTGCCTAACCCATAAAGCCATTCGACACCTTTTCGTTTCACATTTGAACCCCCCCCCCCCCCTCATCTAACAGGTGTCCTTTTGTTCTCTTCTTTCAGTCCAAACGACTTGAGCTCTTACACCATCTATGTCGGCCGGTACCAGCTGAACGGCTTCAACGGTCACCAGTCGATACATCGAGTGAGCCGGGTGGTGATCCCATACGGTTACAGTGAGCCTAAAAACGGGAATGATTTGGCACTGGTGCGGCTGTCCAGCCCAGTAACCTGGTCAGATTATGTCCGTCCCGTCTGCTTGCCTGCCTCTGGCACCCTGTTCCCGGGTGGCATGCTGTGCTATGTCACCGGCTGGGGGAACGTGCGGGATGATGGTAAGGCTTGCTAAATTAAATGTAGTTCAGTGCAAATGTATTTCAGCAGCTCGCCTCCCTACAGAAGAAGCAATGATTATATAACACGGTGAGAGGGTGCTGGCTGTGTTTTTGTGTCTATCGTAAAACATATTTGCAAACGTATACACAAAATACAATACAAAGAACGGAGTGTAAACGGTGTATACAAAGACAAAAAGCAATAAAACAATGTGAAAGGACAATTAATAGCATGGAATACAGACAAGATGTCTGTCTAAATGCTTCATGGCACAACAATACTAAACATGAACATGTCCTTTTAACCACACTACTGTAGATAAGAGCTAACAAAGCTTACTGACCATCTGTTAAGCTGTAGAAATAAAGACGTCTCACACTCCTTTTGTTCTTCATCCTCCATCTGTCTTCGCTCTTCCCCCTCAGTCCCTCTGCCAGGAGTCGGGACTCTGCAGGAAGTGGAGGTGCCAATCATCTCCCAGAGTTCATGTCAGGAGATGTACGCGACGGACCCGACGGAGCAGGTGGACATTCTGTATGACATGATCTGTGCTGGATACCAGCAGGGTGGCAAGGATTCCTGCCAGGTACTGTTGGATCAGCTGTTCCTTCTGCAGTGTTTACATTCACAACAAATGCTTGTATACAACAGCCGTACACAGGAAAAGAAGAACCTGCTTTGAAAGTAACTTGCATTGCTACTTTTCTGCAATCGTGCACCATCTAGTTTTGATATCCTTCCTTTTTTTTTTTGAGCACTTTGATACCTCCCAGTGGTGAAAGCTGAACTTGTGCATGTTTGTGTCGTCTCTTCAGGGGGATTCAGGAGGGCCCCTTGTCTGTCAGATGGTGAACGGGACCTGGGTGCAGGCTGGGGTGGTGAGTTTTGGACTGGGCTGTGCTCACGCCAACCAGCCAGGTGTGTATGCCAAACTGTCCGCCTTCTCGAGCTTCATCAGCGGCACGGTACCGGAGATCCGGCTGTACGGCCGAGCTGATCAGAACTGGTGTGGGAGGGCTGCCATGTTGGCCAGCTGTCTGTCCACACTGCTGATTCTGCTGCGGAGGTAGAACACTGTGAGGCAACTGGATGTCTGGGAGGTCGAATGCAAACCAAGCCGAATGAAGGATGAGATTAATTATGTGTCTGACCTGTGTCCAAAGTTATCCCGAATAGTAAAATTAGAAAACTGTACCTAATGTGCACATGAAGCCATATTGGACACAAACTGTAATATAATCTTCATTTTTAGAACTGTAACTTTGCATTATAATCATAAGTGATGTGTTCTGTATTTGAAATAAATTGTTAATTTGATTCTTAAAATCAGGTCAGTGCTCTGTTCAACTTGTGATAGCCGAGTTTGGAAATGTTTTACCAGAATCATGTTCATGGATCAAAGATTCATTTGTGTTCTTTAAGGGGTAATCTTTTATGGGGTAATCTTTTATATCCGCCTCTAGCACACCCACTTATAAGTACTGAAGCGGTTGCCTTTGGTCAATAACAAACCTGTTTTTTGGAACAAATATTACCTAATTTTCAGGACACCTTTCTGTAATGTCAATTATTTCAGCTTTTTGTTATTCAAATGTTTGTTTTAAATGAATTAAAGTAATCTTAATGTCCTTTCTCACAGAGAACCAACTTGATCTTTGTTTAAATTGCTCCTTTTATTGTTCATAAAATATCCAGAGGCAGAGACGGGTGATGACATTTTTCTTTATTATAAAGAGTCATAATGGTAAAAAAAGATGGCTTGGTAATGCCCATTTTAAAAAAAAAAAAAAAAGCTAGCTTTTATATTAATTTGAGCTTCACTCAAGGTTTTAATACTAAAAATCTAAGATTTACACAAATCCAAGAGCTGTCTTTAAATTCCAGGCAGGGAAGGTCAGGCATCGGGGGGAATGTTATCAGAGAGGATCATGGGAGAGCCGAGTTGCAGCTCCTGCTGCAGGGATTCCAGATCAGCTGGAGTCATGCGGTGAACCTCGCTCCAATCAGATAACAGGGAAGCCGAGAGGGGGGCCGAGTCGTAACTGATGGAGAAGGAAAATATAGAAAGCATTAAATGGGGCCATCGTTTGGATCGTGTTCCAGCGTCACTGATAATTGACTTTTTAATCAAACTAGGAGACATCTTGTATCGAGTAGTTAACCAGTGATTTGAGGGCTCGGTCAAAGCTCGTAAAACACTTTACTGCTTTGACATTTACAATGTAGCTTATAAGGAAGCAGTTGTTGAATAAATCAAAAGGGCAAACATGAAGGATGACCGTGAGAACCGAGTGTTTGCATTTGGTGGGTTAACATGCATGCGTCATGCAATTTGGGGAATTACGGCACATGAGCACTTGTTTTACCTCTCCTTTGAGTTAGCTTGTGATAGTCTGATATGAATGGGTAGATTACATTGGTTGTGTTCATGATAGCAGTGTTAGAAACCAAGCTCACGCTGTATAAGCCCTTACCTGTCACAGTGCTGCAGGTCTGTGAGAGACTGGTTGAGAAGGTCATCCAAGTCAAAGCCCACGCCATACCCGGCCCCACTGCCTTTAGGGGTGACCGAGAACACCGGGGGCAAAACGTCCTCTACCTGACAGGAGACACAGAGAGGAGGGGGGGAGGGGGGGGGGACATTGGGTCAACTGAACTCTGTATCTTTAAGGTCAGTTCAAGGCAAGCAGAGGGTTGTGACATTTAAGCCTGGTTTAATGCGTACAGGAAAATCTTTTTGATCGATACACATGGCTTCTTTCAGGCAATATGCTAGCTGCAAAAAGCAATGAAATATTTCAAGGAAGGCACACCTGGGACTTTGAGAGCTGCAGTGTTACTGTATGGATGTCGGGGGCAATGGGGGGCCCTTGCTGTCCGGTATCTGTGAATCCTAAACTGGGATGAGGCTGCGAGGGGACCCCTAAAGCCCCACAGAGAGGGTGTGCGGCGGTCTGTGGCCCAGATTTCTCTCCGACTGAGGGACACAGCTTCTCCATCGGACAAGCGGGTGCAGTCGCGGGGTTATGATGGGGGTTGTTTTGGCATCCGATATTCCCATTGGTCTCTCTGGTGGTTAACGTTGGAGCTTTAGTCAAGAAACTCTGCAGAGGAAGCAGTTGCGATTGCGGTCGAGGGTCCGGCTGCGTTTGACTTTGAGGTTGGAGCTGGGGCTGAAGAAAGCTCGGCGGTACAGGCTGCGGCTTCCTGTTGGGTGGTGGTTGTGGTTGTGGTGGTCTCGTCTCTAACTGATGCCCGTTCCAGCTCCCCAAACAGTTGAAACCGCTCTGTCCGTTGCTCTCGCTGTGAGGTTTGAGCGTGTTGTTCTTGACAAAGCCACTAGTGACGGTCATTACGTCCATCCCTCCGCTCACAGCAACAACTATATCCACTGGAGGTTTCCTCTGGCTCATGGAGAAAAGCAGTGATGGTTGCTGGGTACTGGGAGGCTGAAACACGCCCTGCTGGTTAGGTTTAACCTGAGAGATTAACTGTTCATGAGACCTGGCCTCCTTGCCCGTTTTATTGTTCAGTGCTCCTTGAGCGTTATCACTGACGGCTACACCGCGATGCGAGTTCACATTACAATCCGTATTCGTTGCTCCGTCGTTATCAGGAGTCGGAGTTCTCTCATTTCGACTGTCCATCATCTTTGTCCAACGTTGCAAAAGGCTTTTGTCGTCGTCGCTCAGCAGAACCCCGCCCAGCGAGTCCCCCTGTCTGCCCTCTCTTCTTTCCTTTTCCTTCATCTTCTTCTCCCTCTCCCTTGCTCGTTCCTGCCTCTTCCTTCTTTTCTCCTCTCGTTCTCGTTGACGCTCCTGTGCTGTGACAGGCCGACGCAAATCTGGAACAGAAGACAGGGAGGACGATACACCTCCTCCTGCACCGGCCTCAATGCCCAGAGCAGAAGATCCTCCATCTGCAATGAAAATATACATTTCTGTTAAAGGCCGTCTGAAGGACGAAATGGCAATCATACGAGTGGATATGGACAACAGCGAACTTACCACCCCTGGCTTTATTTCTAAGAGCTGATTTCAATAAAGCTGCTTTAAGTGCAGCTTTGGTATCCTCTGAAATAGCTCCTTCTTTCCTAGTTCCCTCTCCGGCACCTGGAGGCAGCCTGGCATTCTTGGACAGTGACTGTGAAAGGGACTGAGACAGCGACTGGGCCTGTGCCACAGAGAGACAAAGGGAAGGCATAGTGGTGGGTTGGGGTGTCATGGTCTGTGCTGGTGTTGCAGGAACAGAGGTGGGAGCCTGGGTCAAGGCCTGGCTCGGCTGTCTCAGAGGAGCCTGACCTCCGGTTAGCTGCTCCTGTACCTCACCGTCTCGCATCGCCTCCAACGGAGCATCCTGACTCGACACCGGTGTTGTTAAATCTATAGTCTCTGGCTGACCGCTGTCTGAGTTGGCGCTGGGCATGTCCACATCAACTGGGCCGCTTTCGCTCTTAGAAAGAAGAGGCAAATCATGGGTCACATGAGGCGGGGCGCCTTTTAAAAGGGACGCCGGCTTGTTGAAGTTTTGCATCTGATTTGTGAACGTGTGGTTCCCTTCTGCTGGTGTGTGATCTTGTTGCTGTTGAGACTTCACGTCTCTCATTTGCTGTATCTGTGCTGCTTGTGGGTGTTGTGCCATAGGAACCAGTGTTGATTTACTAAAGTTAATGGTCGAGGGCTGCGCATTGCACTGGTTACCGCTTTGTGCCACAGCTCTGCCGTTCGCCCTCGCCAGCGGCCTGAACCGCAGCCTTTGACGACAGCCCTGTTTGTTTTGATGGAAGTCCTGGATCTCCATCAAAATCGCCTCTTTAATTTGTTCCTTGTTCATTGGGAGCTTGTCAAATTCAAAGTCAAAAGCTGGCACGCAGATTGGCTCATCGTCTTGGTCGTGGTACTTCGACAGGTACGGATGCTCCAGCGCTTGCGTCACACAGATTCTTTCACGAGGGTCAAAGCACAACATGGCAACCAGCAGGTCCAGAGCCTCTGGTTCCGCTTGCGGGTACAGTTTGGCAAAAGGCACAGCAGCCCGCGATGGAAGACTCTGAACATAGGAGCGTACTCGGTCCGCCCTAATGGTACTAATCAACCCCTCGGGAGGAGTGCCTAACACACCCAGAATGAGCGTGAGCTGGTGGACGTAGTGCTTCCCAGGAAAAAGCTGCTTACGCCCCAACATCTCAGCAAAGATGCAGCCCACAGACCACAAGTCAATGCCCAAGCTATAATGATTGAGCGACAGCAGGAGTTCGGGAGCACGGTACCACCGAGTTGCCACATATTCAGTCATGAAGGAATGGGACTGCTCGGGGTGTAAACTTAGACCCCTTGCCATGCCGAAGTCACCGATCTTGAGCTCACAGTTCTCGTTCACCAACAGGTTGGAGGGTTTGAGGTCGCGGTGGATTACGTTAGCAGAGTGCACGTACTTGAGTCCACGGAGGAGCTGGTACAGAAAGTAGCGCGTGTGCTCCGAGGTGAGCGTCTGGGAAGAGTGTATGATCTGGTGCAAGTCACTCTCCATGAGGTCCAGCACCACGTACCTGCACACATGGGAAGTGGAAAAGTGAGATGAATGTGACAATGTGTTGTTTGCCACCAGGTTGACCCCGACAATAGAAAATACATACACAGACTTGAAGGCAGAGTGAGGAAGGTTGGGCTGCAGGATGTCTTTGATGGCGATAATGTTGTCATGTTTGAAGTGCTTGAGAATCTTGAGCTCTCGTAGCGTGCGTTTAGCATTTGTCACCACCTCAAAAGCATTGGAGATCTTCTTTATCGCCACCTGCTGGCCTGTGAAATGTAAATAAGCCCCAATGAAAAAAACAAAACACAGCAGGACGCGACATTGTAGTACTCACAGATGAAGTAAGTTACTCATCCAGCCTACCATTGTCCCTTCTCCTGGCAGACGAAACGACACCGTAGGCGCCTGTGCCGATGGTTTCTATGACATCATACTCCTCTCCGACGTCGAACTTCACATCCAGAGAGTGTGCTTTAAGCAGAGCCAAGTTTTTGGCTGTTGTGCTGGTGTCTGCGGTGCTTCCCGTTGCCTCGACTTCACGCTGGTTCTGGTTCTCTCTGCCTTTGTCAGTGGCCATTCTTTCAGGCGACATGGCTACAGGTTGACCATTTTTTCCGACTCCTCCCTCCTTAGTTGACATTTTTCTGTAAAGAATTTAAAAAGAATTAGCAAAGTGAAATGTTTTTGTCTGTGTGGCACGCTCTTGACTGCAGTGTTAGGAACATAAAGAACTGTTTGGTTTTTCATCAGCATGTGGCTGATACAGAATTTGATCAAAATAAGATCCTACTGTATCTTCATAATGATTTTGCTGAAAGTCAATAAACAACATAAACATTGCCGAGTCACTTTTTAATCAAAACTGCCCAACAATCTCAAAGGATACTATGATACTAAGCAGGATATCTTTAGGTGTTGGGCTCTTGGACTGACAAAACAGGCAATTAAAATGTTTGGGTTTTGGCTCTGTGTTGTTATTTTCAGACACAGAATATACAAAATGACTTATTTGAGTGAGTATACAATAGGCAGATTAATCAAAAAATAAAAATTATGATTTTACATAATCATTTTAGCCTTTCCTCCTCCTGCCACAGCCCTGGGGCCCCGAGGAGCCACTTCAAGTGTGTCAAGAGGTCAGTCAGTGCTCATTTAGTGCAGCACAGACTGAGCCGCTACACAGATACAATGCAACAGGATTAAGATAGTGACTTAGCAATTGTTTAGTCACAATAATAACTAAACAGGTGTATTGTATTCAACCAGGCATAACCGACAAGCTGCCCAGCAACTTCTCATCCGTTAGGCCCGTCAGGTCAGGTGGCCAAAACCAGCTGGACTCTGCTTGTTTATGGATACAGAAAGAAAATCCAGCTGCATTCAAGGACCGCATAGTTTTTGTCCTACAACGTGGTTTAAATAAACTATTGTCGTAACGTGACAAAGACGCAGCCTTAACCACTTTTTGACGCAGGGGCGTAGGCTTGTTACCTGAAGCTCGGGCTTACCGTGGACATAAACCGTTAAACGATGTCTTTATCTATGTATAAAATCAAACAGGGCGACGCGGAGACGTGTTTCTGTGCGATGGATCAGACTCTCACCTTGTGAGCCACCCACAACATCCGTAATTGTGTTTTTAATCCCGTAATGGCACTGCTGTCTCTTGTTTTTGTCTGTCGCTTCCTCGTGCAGTTCCGTGTTTGGGTTTAAGTGGCGTGTGTGCGGACCAACGAGGTGGGGCGACGGCCGAAAGATCGTCCAATAGGAGCAGAGAACGTGATGGGAGGCGGGACATTACGGCAGACAGTAGGGTCTCTGTTTCGATTTTTGTTTTTTTTGGGTGGTGGTGACGCCGTTTTGCTGAATTTATTAATCTTAGGAGGGGCCAAAATGACCTGCAGTTAAATCACAACACTAACTAATACTACTTCTTCTACTACAGATCATAACAGCCCAAAAGTACCCTCATTGCTAACACAGGAGCACATAGATTGGTTGATAAATAGACAGACATAAAATATTCATAGATGAAGATCTTGAAATATAGAAAGAAAAACTGATGTAGTGTTTGGAGGTGCTTGTGTATTAATCATACACAGTGATGGAAAGTAAACAAGTAGCCTCCATGTACTCTTTACTTGAGTATTACATTTGGTGATACTACTATTCAGAAGGAAACATTATACTTTCTACTCCACTTCATTTATTTGACATCTCTAGTTACTGTTTACTTTACAGCTCAATATTTTAAATCCAAAATATGTGATCAACTTATCTATCACATGATGCAGTGTTGTAGGTTAAATATTCAATATCGTGGCTGGATTGCAGTTTGAGTTTGATCTAACACAATTTTACACAATTCACAGTATGATTTATACTTAATATCTAAAATTAGTTGACACAGAGACCCTAAGCATGGCAAATATAAATATAATACAAATATGGGGTAATAAAGCAGGACCCGCCAATTAGTTAATATTGTAGGCCTACTCTGTTGGTGCGGATAGAAAATAACTATGAAGTAGGTATATTTAAAATTAGCTTTATCTTGACCAGCTACAATTTAAGATGATACAAAAAAGATAATACAATGTATTTTTGAGTACATTTCGCTGATAATAGGCTTCTTTTGTACCTTTATTGGATTATTTTCACAGTGCTAAGTACTCTTACTGAACCTAATTCCAGCTCTGATTATATCTGGCTGATTCCTTTGAATACCAAACAGACTGAAGTCCACAGTAAACACACAGTAAATCCCCCTCTGGCTGGTCCAACATCTGTACCCAGCTGTCCAATAACAGGCTGTGACAAAAATCCCCAGACCAATCAGAAGTGAGAATCGGATTTTTAACACGTCACCTTGACAAAGTGAAGTTTGGAAGGAAACGAAGCCTTGTTTTCTTTTCTTTTTTTTGCCTACAGGAGCCATTTAGATTGATCTAAACGTGAATAAACATGGAAATGCCGAAATGGGAGAGAAAATCGCGCATACTTCTCTGCGTTTTCGGTTTGTTTTTGTCTGTGTATGCGCTTCACGTCGAGCTGTCCCGAGAGAGAGACCCAGAATACAGGGCGATGTGCGACCTGGGGGAGTCTGTGAGCTGCTCCAAAGTTTTCACCTCCAGGTATGTTTCTTCATCTCCGTTTGGCTTTAGCAGCTCATACCTTCTTTGTAGTGCAGATTCACGAGACCTCGTCGGATACTTTAGTGACTGTTGAATCATTTTGGATTATTCTCCATGTTGTTGTAAAATCAGAATATTGCATGGTCCGACCCCCTTCATTGCCACGTGTTAAAATCCTTTGGTCTTCAAACCAGAAACTATTTTACATTATGAGAACATTCCAGTTTTAATTAAGTAAGCTGCATGACTGATTGTTTTTACAGGATATATAAACCATGGTTATCTTTTCAGTATATTTTTGCCTGTTTTCACTTTCTTTTTTTGGCAGATGGGGACGAGGTTTTGGCTTGGTCCAGTTCTTTGTTGCCAAAGATAGCCATCTGAACCAGCCCAACAGTGTGCTTGGCCTCATATTTTACACTCTCCAGATGGGCCTGGGTCAGTCTGTCATTATCTTCAGCAAATCACAGTGTCTTGCTTTATGTTTTTAGACAAAAAAAAAAAAAATAGAGCTTGCAATGCATAATAATTATGAGATATAACATTTTGTTATTGTTATTTATCAATTTCGACTCCATTTGTAAGTCAAGCATATCAACCATGCATTATTCCCTAAATATGACTTATATAATCCATTGTATTGAAGGACTGAACTCCTCCATGTTTGTCTTTTATTGCAGGACTGTCTCTGTCCAAAAAGGCAGCAATGTTCCTGGTCTTCGCCTCCTGGGTGTCTGTGGCCGGCTCACTCTACCTCGCATCTATTCTCGCCTTTGTTCTGGGGGATTTCTGCCTGGTCTGCGTGTCAACATACATCGTCAACTTTGCGTTGCTCTTCACCAACCTGAGACGTAGGACAGCAATTGAAGGAACGAAGGAGAAGGCTGGATAGAAAGTGACTACTTGAGAAATTCAACACCTTTTTTTTGTGTTGAACAGTATTTCTACATTGAGGAACAGGCCCGGAGATGCATCTCAGAAGATCTATAACATGATTTTTTTTTTATGTGCAGAAACTTACCAAAGCAGTCATTTTGTATACAAATGTTTATTTGTGATGCAGATTACACATTTTTGAATACTACCTCTTGCCCCATGTGGTATAGGCCTGGCTTGTTAAGACATCAATAATCCTTAAAATGGATCATTTGTCTACAGTAAATGATCACGGGGTGAAGCAGTAGAGATACATGCAGTTGCTCAGTCTAACCAGGAGATGGAGCCACATGTACAGTGTTATCATGGTGAATGTGGATACCGGAGAATTATAGTACACAGCAGTATTTGCATTGCATTTATTACAAAAACTAACATGGTATTGTAAGTTAAATACACAATATCGTGGCTGGATTTCGAGTTTGACCTAACACAATGTTACACAATTCACAGTATGAATTTAAATAAGTAACTAAAATTAGATTTTTACACAGAGACCCTAGGCAAGACAAGCTACACATTTTGGGTAATAAAGCAGGACCCACCAATTAGTTGATTTAGGCCTACTCTGTTGGTGCAGATAGAAAAATAACTATAAAGTAGACCTATTTCAAATTAGCTTAATCTTGACCAGCTACAACTTCTGATAATAAAAACGATAATGTATTTTGTGTGCTTTTACTTTTGTTAAGTTACTTCACGGATAATTGGCTTCTTCTGTACTTTTACTGAATTAAATATTTGAATGCAGGCCTGTTACTTTTATTGTATTATTTTCACGGTGTAGTATAAGTACTTTTACTGCTGAACCTAATTCCACCACTGATTATGACGATGATTCCTCTGAAGGCCAAACAGACTGAAGTCCACAGTAAACACACAGTCCAACAACCAACAAAAACATGGATAAAGTAAAAAGTCTTGTTAAACTCAACGTTATTTCCTCAACTTTTTTAACCAATACATAAACCTAAAGGAATAGTTGGGATAAAATATGATTTTGATTAATTTTAGTGAATTTTTTTGAAAATAATAATCAATAACTTTACTGTTGATACGTGTAGCATGACCAAAATCACTTCATACATCAATGGGCTCCTCCTTGTTGTACTACAACTGTTATTTTGATAAAATATGATTTTGATTAATTTTAGTGAATTGTTATTGAAAATAATAATCAATAACTTTTCTTCAACAAAGGATATACACATATACTATCATGCTGTAACAACATTGTGAAAAAGGAAAAAGAAATGTGGCAAAGGCATTAGGTATCGAAAGATGTCTTTCCCCATCGTGGTTTGCATTAGACTGACAAACTGAAAGATCACTGCAGGTACTTAATTGAAAGGTGCTCCTGATTGGTTAGTGACTTAGTCACCCTAGGCATCTATCATTTGATTGGTTGAGGGGCAGATGCCATGAGGCAGCCATGAGCTGATTTATAAATAACCATCTACAAGTCTGGTGAAACTAAAATAACAGTTGTAGTACTACAGGAAGGAGCCCATTGATGTGTGAAGTGATTTTGGTCTCGTCTCGCAGCCGGCCGCTCATTGAGACCAATGCCGATTGTCCAGCTCGGAGGAGTCCGTAAGACGGCCCGTTTTAATTAAATTAAGGTTGTAGCTTGTTGTCTACCTCACTACGGTTACAGGGAGGTATCGTTTGTAGTTTAGCAACGTTTCGTTAACGATTTATTGAACCGGGAAGTCCGAATCTGTCAATATCTTTCTAACTTTACCTAACCTCTTCTTCCCTAGTTAAGGTCTGGTTTTGGATGCTTAAGACACTGAGTCTTGGTATGCTCAACACTCGTACTGCGGTCAAGCCGGCCTTCACTTCGAAAAACACAGACAAGCCAGCCAGCCCCGACGTTGTTTTCCGTGTAGGCATTACGGTAATAGCGTGTAAGAACTGACTTCAGAAGAGAGGCAGTTCTTACACGCTATTATACGCTGGCTGCTTTTTGTGAAATGACAGGGCATTTCACATTCATTCAACAAGTCAGTCAATTGTCACTGCCCAGCTCAGAGACTGCGACAAAACAAACGAGCTGGCTGCTGAGAATTTATTAGGAGTATTCAAGGGCAGAGCAGACACACCTGCTCAGGTGTGTCTTATACAGCTGATGACCCTCCAATCAGCACCTGCAACAGACAACTACATGCACAGCTACAGGGACACGTTGTGTAGGGGAGGTGGAGGGTCATTACACAACAATAAATAAATGAGTAATAATGCATGTAAATAAATGAAACAAAATGAATGAGTAGGAAATAATACATTTAATGAACGATAACCCAAAAAACAATAAATAATTACCTCTTGCAAATTGTGTGAATACTTACTCCAACATTAATAAAGAATACATTTCCAAAGGCTAATAAAAAAGACAGTCACTGCCTCAAATTCAAACACTTCAAGGGTACACTAAGTGAATACTTTCACTTGGGTTTGATAGCAGACAACCTCAGACTGTCACTCAGAGAATATCAGGATATTCTGATGTTGAATTTCGAAATTAAAGCCCATTAAAACCTCAATCATGAGCTAAATTCCCTCTGAATTCGGATTAGATTTAAAAGGAAACGGTTTATTGTTACATATTTACATTTATTTCACTTCAGGTTAATAGTAGACCACCTCAGAGTGTCCCTCGGAGAATATCAGGACATTCTGAAAGCCTTATAAAATCTCATTCATTAACTTTCCTCCGATTTCAGATTTAATAGGAAATAGTCCATTGCCACAAACTAATTTCACCTGATAATGATAGCAGACCACTTCGAGAGGTACTTCTTCCAACATCGGGACATTCTGACATAGAATTTCCAAATAGAAGTGCTTTGAAAGTCCATATATGAGCTATTTTGAGGGTTTACAATTTCAACGCAATGCCATATTCAATTAAAGAGAAATTATTTTTTTATCTGGCTTCATGTTTGTTATATTCTAACAATATTCTTTAGTACTACAAAGACACAGAAAGGAGGTAGAGTATGTCAATGTGATGCTTTATACCTGAAACATTTGAGTGGCATTTAATTGTTGTATTGCTTTCTTGCATTCTTTAAAGTTAAGGCTTTGTGTTTTGCGAAGACACTATTGAATCATACTCGAGCAATTGTTGAGTGCATTTTAAAATCACAATTAGCTTCATGTAGGCACTTTTTTCACTTCTTTATAATTATTTTTACTCCAAAAAGGAGTGAGTAGTGAACGTAGGCTAGATGGGCAAATCACCTAAAATAATATGTATTTGATGGATGATATAAATAACAAATAGTGTTGTTTTTAAGAGGGATGACACATCAACTATAAAAGCGTAAATTAAGTGCTCATTAGTTCTGTTAGCCCACTGACATGAAAAACATTCTTTGATAGTTGCAGTGAATTAACAGAAGTGTCTTCTGGGTGTTTCACAATACGCCCCTTATAGTCCCAATTGAAACAGAGCATCTTTAGCTTCTGTACTGTCACGTGTTTCTCAGTGAAACAGAATATTTGAGAGGTGTACAGCTACCAGAGAGATTTAAAACCTGACTTTAAAAACCTGCTTTAGTTGAGGGGACTTACAATCCTAAAGAAAGGTTTCAGCAGCTTTGGTTCCCCATGGTATGAGGAACTGTAACACACTTAAGGCAATTTTCACCGAGAGGGTAGAAAAATACTAACCAAACCAACGGCATGCTGTGTTATTTTGAAATGTTATATAACTACAGAGATAAGGTCTTTCTCATGCCTGTCAAAATGCATATTTGCACCAAAAGAAAATGATGGATGAGGTGTAAAGGTTACAGCCACAACGTGAATGTATAATACCTGTGTAGTATTGTTTTCATTCCGTCATGCGTCAAGTCATTTCAACATCTCAGCTATTCGTAGTTCTTTACCTTTTGTTGAGATTTTTGTTTTTGTGATTGCACTGAAAGACAAGTACAGTAGTTCTCAGTCATGACTTGCAGGGTGACAGTGTTGGTGGAAATGTTTTTTGCTTATCTGTGAACAACGTGCGTCTTCGACATGTTTGGTTCTGAGATGACAAAAATGCAGCTGATCCACCTTTCTCACCCTACGAACCACATAACCACCCCCCGTCTGCATATCATTTTTCCAGTGACATAATAAGGAGGTGTTTTGTCTCTACAATACAATGTTTACCGTGTCACATTAAACATGTTCCACTGCTGGCTGTTTCTCAACTGCAGTTTGCAAAAGTCTCATAAGTGACAGGTTTGTCCACTTCCTTGATGGGGACACAGAAGAAGTATCATCCTCCAACATCTATGCAACAATAGAGCTCTAATAAGCTCCCTTTAGACTGTCAAAGGGGCAAATAGCTATCATTAATACTATCACTCCTAATCAAGCTTTGATATCTTGTCAAAAAAAGGGGAAAATTGAAATTCCGATATTTTCCTCTACACTTTGATTTAATCTAGTTGTCCATTTGTTTAATAAACTATCCTCATTACAACTTTAATTCTCGCAGAGAAAGGATTTACATTTAGGACAGTGGCCTCTAAGCTGTGTATGCATGTAATTACATTACTGGATCATAGTCTTTTTCACAAAAATTAAGCAAAAGAAACTAGGAAACTGTTCAACTTATTAGATGTTATGGAGGGTGCCTCGTGGGAGGGGCATACCTCACGGCAGGTGACAAGTCAAACAAAGACATATAAAGAGTGACAAACAAGTACCTGGCAGTAGTTACAAAATGGCTATGAAGAAGTGGATCTGTGTACTGGCGGTGGCAAGCTTTCTATCTGCAAATAAGTCACACTAAGATCAGACTAACATCTTTGTTGAGGTGCAGGTGCTGCACAAATAATTTGATATACAAGAGTAGGCCTACTTAGCAATGAACATCTACCTGGATCTTAATCTGATTTTTAAGGCTTTCAGATCTTGACTTGTTAATATTATCTCAAAGAACATGTCGCTTAACCGCTTAGACACATATGTGAATTATGATTTCAAAGGGAAAATGTATGGTTTGTATTTGAACTCATGAATAGCTAGATGAACATATTGATGACACAATATAATAGAAATATAATATATTCAAATTTTAATGATGTGTGGATGTGAAGTCCTGGGATTGAGTCTGATGTGGCCCACTGTTGCTGTTGGCTTATCAGTCTGTGAGAAACCTGCCCCCCTTCCTCAATCTGACTTTACTGACTTTTATACAGCTAACCAGCCCTTTGCTTAAGAACAGCCAATGGGATTTCATAACCTGTTGACCGAAAATGTATTCTTAAGAATAATGTATGAATGATCAAATTAGTAAATGATTTAACAAAGCCTTGCAAATAATGTCTTTCTAACAGAGACAGAGAAAGTGATTGTTTTTGTGCAACAAGGGGAACAAAAAATAATCTGTTTCTATTATTTTAGTGCGTTTGCATTGAAATACCCCAGACTTTTCATATTGATATAACTAACCCAGTTGTGATGTCTCCTTCCCAGAATCACATGCTCAGCTTGATGGTGAGTTATAAACATTTAAGATCCATTTAATGTCTAGAATAAATATTGTATCTACATTTCAGAAGTAGAGTTTTCCAGTTCAGCTGAAATTGATTTATTAACTTTAAAAGCACATTGTATCCCAGTGATAACCAGGGAAGCCCTGACTTAAAGTGTATTGACTGACTTAGCGTCTGATGTCTCTACTCATCTATTTTCTAGTATGTGGCAAAGCTCCACTCAGCACCAAGATAGTTGGAGGTGAGGACGCTCCAGTTGGAAGTTGGCCCTGGCAGGTTAGTCTGCAGAGCTCTGGCAGCCATGTTTGTGGTGGTTCCCTCATCAACAAAGAGTGGGTGATGTCTGCTGCTCACTGCTTCTCCAGGTGAGTAACTTTCACATGATAGAGGATAAAACGTTCAGTGTTTCAGTCTTTGGTTTGACTTGTAGTCCATGTTCAGTCTGAAACCAGCACATTTCTGTCATTTTTTTCTTTAGTGACACTACGTCAAGATGGCAGGTTTCTCTGGGCCGTCAGAACCTGCAGGGCAACAACTCAAACGAAGTGTCCACAACTGTTGCCAGAATCATTTTGCATCCAAACTATGACAGTGTCACCAACAACAACGACATTGCTCTGCTCAGACTCTCCTCACCAGTCAATTTCACAGACTACATCAGACCTGTGTGTCTGGCAGCCAGTGACAGTGTGTTCAGCAACGGTACTGATAGCTGGGTCACTGGCTGGGGCGCAGTCAAGGAGGGAGGTGAGTCTGCTTGTTGCTGACAAATAGTCTTTTCAAATTTCTTGTAAACAGTAGATGTATGTGTGAATTGTCTCTCCTCTTGTTGGTCTCTCAGTGTCATTGCCGTTCCCTGAAACCCTTCAAGAGGTGGAGTTGTCAGTTCTGGGAAACAGCCAGTGTGACTGTCTCAATGGAGTCGGTACAGTCACGGACAACATGATCTGTGCTGGGGTTCTGGCAGGAGGCAAAGACTCTTGTCAGGTAGGCTGCTTCATTGAATCTGTCACTTGTTGGTAAATGTGTTTAGGATTTTCTGAAATCCTCTGACGTCTCCTCTCCATCTCCTCAGGGTGACTCAGGAGGTCCAATGGTGAACCAGCAGGGCTCCGTCTGGGTCCAGTCTGGAATTGTTAGTTTTGGTTTTGGCTGTGCTCGGCCCAATCTGCCTGGAGTCTACTCCAGAGTGTCCATTTGCCAGTCCTGGATCAACTCCCACATCAGCTCTGATAAGCCAGGCTTTGTCCAGTTCACCTCCAGTGGGCTGGATGCTGACAGCAGCTACACCTGTCCTGGTCCGCCACCTCCTGTTATTTCTGCTACTACTACTACTGGTACAGCGGGACCAGACACAACTACAGATCCAGGATCCACAGCATCAAGTACTGAATATAATATCCTGACTTAAACAATACTTATAATACATATATGTAATTGTCCTTCATTATTGTTGAAATAAAACAGTCCAGGGATTAATTGGTACAGAAAAATATGTTGTTTTCAGCCATTTCTTCTTAATATGTGGTGCTGTGCTGTTGGCAACAATGTTTTTTCAGATGCTCCCATAATACCTTATTGATAGGGTCTGATGACTATCCATGAAAGGCTTTATTTTTTTGTATACTTAATAGCTGGTCTGCCAGCTGCATCAACAACAACTTCATCAACGACAAGACCAAGTACTACCCAAATTTTAACCAGTCCTGCAAGTGAGTGTTCTGAAAAAATATTTCATTCAAATTCTTCCACTATTAGAGTTTTCATCATCTTGTTTTCCACCATCTATCATTTATGTCTGCTTCCCCTTGTTATTTGTTTCTTTCATAGGAGCAGTGTGTGGTAACGCTCCCATGAACAGTCGTGCTCTAGGTGACAGTGGTGTTGTACCTGGAGGGACCTGGCCTTGGATGGTTAGTCTCCACAAAAATGGGGTTTACACTTGTGGAGGAACCCTAATCGCAGAAAGATTTGTTCTCACTTCTGCCCAGTGCGTCTCTACGTAAGTGCGAAAGATTTTTCCCGCATTAATTATTCATCGAAGACATTTAGATGTGAAATAATGGAATAGGTGCCCTTTTTCCTCCTGACAGCTCCAATCCAGATGTCAGTGAGTGGAGTGTGTTTTTTGGCCAGCATCTTGTGGACGGCTCTGAAGAGTTTGAGATGTCTCTTGGCGTTGTGAACATTACAGTGAGCAACATGACGGATTCTAATATTGCTCTGCTGCAGCTGACTAAGCCAGTCAGCTTCAAAGATCATATTCAGCCTGTGTGTATGGATGTTAGCGCTTCCAGAACCTTCCCTGTTGGAAGTCGATGCTGGGTGGCTGGCTGGGAGAACGGCAGTAAGAGCTTTTGTGTTTGCTGCTAATACGAATAGGATAATTTAAGTAGGTCTTATAGATATTTAATAGTTGCTTCATCATATACAAGGCATAGTCTAGTTCAATTATTCATGTGAGTAATTGTGATTTTTCCAGCCACAGATAAAGCCGGCTCAGGCCTTCGAGATCTTGAAACTCAGGTGGCAAGTTGTGGGGATCTTTCTGATTCAGAGAACATTTGCACTTATACCATGGACCTTCAACAGGTAAAGATTTTCCATACAGCAGTGTTTCTAAAATCGTTTTGCCTTGTCGCCAATGCAGAAGTTTTTCACATTGGGAGTGTCAGGAGCTCACTGATGAGGAATCCTCTGTTTCTATATTTGCAGGGGGATCAAGGCAGCCCTCTGCTGTGCAAGTCAGACTCATCCTGGTTTCAGGTGGCCGTTGTAACAATGAGTGGAAGTAAATCAGTCCGCGCTGATGTTCAGGTCTTTGCCAAAACTTCAAGATTTGGGTCCCTCTTAAAGGAGACGGTTGGCGACATGCCGTCTCCTGAAGTGCCGTCTCCTGAAGTGCTGTCTCCTGAAGTGCCGTCTCCTGAAGTGCTGTCTTCTGAAGTGCCGTCTCCTGAAGTGCTGTCTTCTGAAGTGCCGTCTCCTGAAGTGCTGTCTTCTGAAGTGCCGTCTCCTGTAGTGGCCGCAACAGGAAATGCAGCAGGTTTCTCAATTTCGCTGTTCCTTTATTTCGTTGTCCCTGTTACCTCAGTGTTTCTGTTGTCAGGATCTTAGGTCTGTTATCACCCGGGGGGTTTTAAGGTTTATTAATGCACTCTTCTCAAGCTCTCTTAAATGTATTTAAGATACTCAGGTCAGTTGTCAGGCACTTCCAAGTTTATAATTTTATAACAACAAAAGGTATTTTACTGTAGTATGATGATTTTTGTCTATAAATGAATTGTACAGGGAAATGTCTTTCTTATAATGTGTTTCACTGAATCCAATGAAGGACAACTTCTGTGTTATTTTTTATACCTGTTTCCTACATGAAATGTGATGAGTCATGTATGAAGGTAAATATTCTTTATATAATATATACTTCCATATATTATTGTTAAGAGAAATGAAAAATAATTTTAATCACATATATAATAAATATTGATAAAGCATAAAGTCAGTGTCTCTTTATATAAATTATTAATACAGTACTTACAGTTGTGTGAAAAAGTGTTTGCCCCCTTCCTGATTTCTTATTTTTTTGCATGTTTGTCACACTTAAATATTTCAGATCATCAAACAAATTTAAATATTAGACAAAGATAACACAAGTAAACACAAAATGCAGTTTTTAAATGAAGGTTTTTATTATTAAGGGGAAAAAGAATCCAAACCTACATGGCCCTGTGTGAAAAAGTGATTGCCCCCTAAACCTAATAACTGGTTGGGCCACCCTTAGCAGCAACAACTGCAATCAAGCGTTTGCGATAACTGGCAATGAGTCTTTTACAGCGCTGTAGAGGTATTTTGGCCCACTCATCTTTGCAGAATTGTTGTAATTCAGCCACATTGGAGGGTTTTCGAGCATCAACCGCCTTTTTAAGGTCATGCCACAGCATCTCAATCAGATTCAAATCGGGACTTTGACTAGGCCACTCCAAAGTCTTCATTTTGTTTTTCTTAAGCCATTCAGAGGTGGACTTGCTGGTGTGTTTTGGATCATTGTCCTGCTGCAGAACCCAAGTGCGCTTCAGCTTGAGGTCACGAACAGATGGCCGGACATTCTCCTTCAGGATTTGTTGGTAGACAGCAGAATTCATGGTTCCATTTACCACAGCAAGTCTTCCAGGTCCTGAAGCAGCAAAACAGCCCCAGACCATCACACTACCACCACCATATTTGACTGTTGGTATGATGTTCCTTTTCTGAAATGCCGTGTTACTTTTACGCCAGATGTAATGGGACATACACCTTCCAAAAAGTTCAACTTTTGTCTCGTCAGTCCACAGAGTATTTTCCCAAAAGTCTTGGGGATCATCAAGATGTTTTCTGGCAAAACTGAGACAAGCCTTTATGTTCTTTTTGCTCAGCAGTGGTTTTCATCTTGGAACTCTGCCATGCAGGCCATTTTTGCCCAGTCTCTTTCTTATGGTGGAGTCATGAACACTGACCTTAATTGAGGCAAGTGAGGCCTGCAGTTCTTTGGATGTTGTTCTGGGGTCTTTTGTGACCTCTTGGATGAGTCGTCGCTGTGCTCTTGGAGTAATTTTGGTCGGCCGGCCACTCCTGGGAAGGTTCACCACTGTTCCATGTTTTTGCCATTTGTGGATAATGGCTCTCACTGTTGTTTGCTAGAGTCCCAAAGCTTTAGAAATGGCTTTGTAACCTTTTCCAGACTGATAGATCTCAATTACTTTGTTTCTCATTTGTTCCTGAATTTCTTTGGATCGCAGCATGATGTCTAGCTTTTGAGGATCTTTTGGTCTACCTCACTTTGTCAGGCAGGTCCTATTTAAGTGATTTCTTGATTGAGAACAGGTGTGGCAGTAATCAGGCCTGGGTGTGGCTTGAGAAATTGAACTCAGCTTTCCAAAGATGTGATAAACCACAGTTAATTTATGTTTTAACAGGGGGATCAATCACTTTTTCACACAGGGCCATGTAGGTTTGGATTTTTTTTCACCCTTAATAATAAAAACCTTCATTTAAAAACTGCATTTTGTGTTTACTTGTGTTATCTTTGTCTAATATTTAAATTTGTTTGATGATCTGAAACATTTAAGTGTGACAAACATGCAAAAAAATAAGAAATCAGGAAGGGGGCAAACACTTTTTCACACAACTGTATATCAATATTGCCGTTTTAATTTCAGCAGTTTTACAAAACGATTTGTGAAATCAGAAATAACACAAATTAACATGCATAGCTTGCAAATATAAAAGCAGAAAAGTTTCATTGTAGACCTACAATGGGCTATTAGGATAAAAATTTAGGTTTGAAAAATGTACAGTCATTTTTTAAAGCCTCCTGCAACATTACATCTCATGGGCTGTGTCCGAAATCACTCTATGTATATATAGTATTTAAAAAATGTTTAAATGCACTACGTTTAACCTCCACCATTGTATTTGAGTAACCCAATTTATTCATGAAATGTATACACAGTGCCTGAAATTTCAATTTACTGCCTACTATCAGGTCAATTATGAAAAGTCTATAATATAGGACAGCGGTTCACGACATTTTATTATCATCCTTAAGATGAACCGATTTCTACTTGCGATCCTTTTTTACAGGGTGTCTCCCCGCTGAGACTTTCATTTGAAAATTGTTTAGGGAAGAGGTAAAACTTTACAGCATTCACTGGGTATTACTTCCTAACCAGGAAATCATCTTGCGACCCCTTGGCACAGTCCCGACCCCCTGGTTGGGAACCTCTGTTATAGGAAATAGTGAATGACAGAGTGAGGGAGTGATTTCAGACACAGCTAAGCTTTCTAGTTTCTTCAAACGAAAGTTGTCTTCAAATCACATTGATTCCTAAAAATGGCAAAATATTACAAAATGCAAGAGCTCTGAGTAATGGTACACATGAAGTAATCAGAGTTGATAGGCGCCACTGTAGATGTTGAAACAGTTTTGCTGTTTTGTTGTCAGCTGCAATAAGCAGGCTAATACTATGAATATATTTGAGTTGGAAAAGGCTGCCGTCTGGGGAACATCTGCAGATTTTATATTTGTTATTCTGGTGTGGGTGCGCCTCCATCCACCCCCGGATCTGCCGCATCAGCCGCATCAGCATTAATCATTTCCTTGTATTTACTCTTGAAAAATCCAGCCTGAGAGTACAAAACAAAAATAGTTAAAACATGCATAATAAATAAATGTAAAGAACCAAACCCGATGAGACAATAACATATGAAATATTGGAAAAAAGCTACTTAGTTTTGCAATTATTTGAGCCGTTTTGACATGTCATAGCAGGGTAAACGAAAAAATCAATGATGGTCCTGTTCTATTAAGTGTGTCACAGTCATTCCAGTGAGCCAGCATTCACATTACCAGGGCCTTGACCCATCTAAATGAAACTAATTCATGATATTAATTACACCTGTGTTTATACTATGAAATGTCAAAATGGCTTCATTGCCTCCAAAAAGCTTTATACTAAACTGAGTGTATGTTCAGTGTCTCACCTTATACAGGCCAGCGGTGAGTAAAACCAGGAAAGCCAACCCTCCCAGGGATCCTCCAACAATCTCTTTGGTGAAGTCTGGTTCAGGATACACTTCTACCTCTGCCTCAATCTGATAGGTGAAATGACAAAATGTGGATTAAATTCCAAGCTCTTTTAAAACACAAAGAGGTCCAAACAATGTGTAATCACCTTGCGAACAGGAGGGTTGTTATGAGACCCTGTTGAAAAAAAGATGTACTGGTTTCTGTCGTACTCCAGACTGGCTGTGCTGGTCAAGAGGAATTTGGCAGATTGAAGTCCAATCTTTTTGAGGGAAAAAAATGAAAAGTGGGATGAGCCTCTTGATTTGATCTTTAGTGACGTTACATTTCATTGGAATATCGTTATTTCTGGGGATATTTTACTGCAACATAGTCAAAACCAGTTGTAATCAAAATACTTTCAAATGCAGCACTTAAAATGCCCATTAATTAAATGTAAGTTAGTTTGTTCAATAAAAGCATACACATCCTTTACTTGCTCTATCCATCCAGAACTCAGGTTGGCAGCGATGTTGTACTTTTTACTCTCCAGTCTTGCCATGAACCTACTGCACTTGAAAACCGTGCACCTGGCTACAGAACAGTCCTGTTAGGATAAAAGAAGGCAGAAAGCAGAGAGAGAGCAGTAATCAGTTCTACACACTCCAGTGGGATGAAAATAATAGTAGTTATATAGAACTCCAGTTCTATGAGTGTATTTGGGAGCCCTTAAATGGGCTTCGCAATAACTCATAGATGGTAGAGGCATACTTACCACTAACTTATTTTTCTGTATCTTAGCAATAAAATCTGTGACTTTAGGTTCTTCCTCCTTGTCTCTTTGGCAGTCTGGAATCTAAAATAGAGCAGATTCATGTCAGTTTACAGAGAACCAGATGTGGTGCTTGGTGTAATCACGTCCGTCCATAACACTGTAGTTGTGTAAAACAACTATAATTTGATATTTTAAGGGTTCAGTAAAGACGAGTTCCCACGCGATACCTGCAAACTGCTGGAATCTACCCAGATGTCTTTATCACCGAGCCTCACGGGCACCCTGATCACCACAGTGAAATGCAGTGCTCTGATATCATTTGTAACCTAAGAAAATATAAAAGGGTGGTAAGTATCAAACAGACGTAATGACCATGAAGTCTGAATCAAGTAAATTAAGTATTAAAATAATTACTGATAAAATGATATTAGATATTTTACCACAATTGATTGTTGGACTGGTTTTTGCAGATTATTCTTGCCGAAAGAGAAATTGCTGTAGCTGAGGGAACTTAACAGATATAAAAATCATTTGATGAATATTAAGTGATAAGATGCCAGCTTAATAGTATTATTATTGTAATATAATATAGTTGTAGTATTATTCTTTTTAAATTTCTTTCGTTTCACATGGAACAACACAAACCTTTCAATCGTAGCAAAAATGCTGTACTTCACATCAATCTCTTTCTTTTTGTAGAGTTCACTTGAGTTGGCGTGGTCCTCATTCCCACTAAAGGAAGGGGGAAATTATTTGTACAAATGGGAATGGGACTATTGCACACTTGCATATTGTTGTGCTTATTATGCAGGCAGCTGAGCAGTACCTGGTAGCATTTGCAGTGACAAAAAGCTTCCTGTCAAGTTGACTTCTAGTTTCGATCCCATAGGAGATGATGAAGAAAGCCTAAATGACATAAAGGAAAGAAATCAGCTTGCCTCTTCTATCTCTGCAGCAGTGAGAAGAGATCATTTTGTACAAAGATCAAACCTTAGTGTTGCTCTTCAAAATAGGCTTGTTAACAGTGCAGTCCGTCTTTCCTCTTGTTACGCCATCTTCACTGTCCAAGGAGTTGCACTCAATTCTTCCCTTTATTACAAACACATTTGACAAAAGCGCTGTGTGACCGGAGAGAACAGCTGACCAGAGATCAACGAAAGCAGACCTGAGCCTGAGGCCTTACCTGGTGAATTGTAAACTTCCTGTATGAGAGTCCGACTGGGTATGTGAGAATGACACGGCTGTTGTAAGAGTTTTCCTCCCTGTTCTCCACTGAGACGGTGACATTCAACAGTTCATCAATGCCCACTTTTACCTCTAAGGAACTGACGGATTGTGAGGAAAGAGAATAGTGAAGTTAGACAAAAACAAAGGGCTGCGGTGGAATTGTAAAAAGACAAAACCTGGATGGAGAACGTTGTGAGCTCAAGGAAAGATCTGAAGGAGAATTCATAGGGACTTGGGAAAAGACAACCATGGGGCTAAGAGAATCCCACTGCATATACACCAGGCTATGTAATTATGCAACAGCGGATGTCATTGACGTGGGTCTGCTGTGGTGCTGCTGCAAGGAATTGTTGGTGACCATAATCCCCTCTCCTTTTAAAGAGAATGATCCAGTGTACCTTATGCTAAAAGAGGAGAGAAAGGGAGCACCATTGCTTGGACGATTCGACCAGCTCTTATCAGGTTGCCACTTAGAGACTTCCGGATCTTTTCAATCAGTAAGCAAAAAAGACTATTCAACCACAGCTTAAAGTCATGGTCACACTTTAGCATTCGCTAAAAGTTCCATTCAATGCGAGTGCCAGTTGCTTTAGGCATGGTCACACGTGCGCAAATGCAGGAGTGACCATTGCCTGCTGAGGCGATATCCGCCTGAAAGTTTACCAAAGTTGAACTCCACACGAATGTGACAATGGGGATTTGCTACGCCATGGTGCAGCAAATGCTTTTTCACTCCCTCGCTTACTTTCATGCATGTGGGACCGTCCCGGGTCTACTGCCACACTAGCTGCTCTGTGAGGTTGAGCCACAGCGATGCTTTTGAGCTAAATGCTAATGTCAGCATGTTGACCTTCTTAGTTTAGTGTGTTAGCATGCTAACGTGTGCTAATTTGAAGAGAAAAAAAACACATAGGACAGCTGAGGCTGTCGGGATTTGTTTTGCAGGTATTTCATCATAAACCAAAGTACAGGAATGATATTTTACACTTAAAGAGGCAGAGCTGAAACATCTGTGCTTTATACTCTGTGCTGCACCGCGAAACGGAAAGAATAGAAAAAAAACAGCATGTTGAGTTAGAGTGAGCAAACTCCTTGCACTTGCCGAAAAGTGACCATGTGACCTCACACCAAAGTTGGGATTCAGTTTTGTAGCTCACCTGGTGAAGTTGAAATCCACTTTCAGGTTATCGGTACATTTATTGTCCGTGCCGCAATTGATCTCGAACCCTAACTGTGGAAGAGAGTATGAAGTAAAACCATGTTTGTTCAGGAAGAGTAGACATAACAGTTAAAGTCTGACTGCGTAATCTTACAAATAAATTAAATTACAATCGAACATTGTTAAGAAGGCATGATGCACTGCAGAGCTCTCCATGTGGTAGCTATGTGGTGAAATGGTCGATTATGTGAAAACTGACTTGAATTTGCCTAAAGTATTGGCAAAAGTGAAGACTTTTTTGGTCATTCAATACTCAGACAATGAAAACCATGTGGTAGAGTCCTTAAAAATATTTAAAGAGTACTTACAGGATGAAAACCTGTTGTCTGCGCCTGCAGGGCAAGACTCGGACTTGGATTTTGGCCATTAGGTAAACCTTCAAAGGTGAATCTGAGTTCATTGTTAAGTGCATTTAGAGCATCTTCTGGACAAGCCTGCAGAGAAGAGGGTAGGGTGCTATTGTAAAATACATTTGTCGAGGTTGCATGGGTTGGATTCTTTAACACAACATGGGCATCAAACATCGCATTTTTCAATACGAGAGAGGCTGTGGTTTTCCAGTTAAAAAGATTGTTCAACAAGTACAGAATCTACCAGATTTTAACGTTGTGCATGTGTAGCAACTCACCTCGACTGAGTACGTCACCTTGACGCATACAGGCCGACTTAAGTCAAGAGTAACTGTTCCATTCGTCTCTCGTTGTTGCGCAGTAAAGTAGGCCCGGTTGTTTGGAACTTTGCGAGTGGCGTCCAGCGTTAGATTGTAGCTGATCCTTGCTTGAGCTGGAACAGATTAGTGTTTCATTAAGAGGTTACTCTTTGAAGTATTTAAATGACAGTGGAGCATCGGGTACCTTGGTCTACTGCAGAGTGGCTGGTCATGGTAAAGCAGATTTCCGCTATGTTCGTCAAAGCTTTTGAGCAGTCTGAGTTTTGAGTGGAGATTTCTTTTGGGCTGAATGACACTGTAGCTTCTACCATTACTATAGGCTTTGATCTGGAAATGGACAGAGCAGATAAACACATTGTGGATAACTATTGGCTTCGTGATCACTATTGCAGCAGAAAACCAAACCGGTTCTTAGCTGCCCGATACAATCCATTATTGGTGAGTAGTTCTGTCTTAAATTTCTACAAAGGGACTGAAGCACTGGTCTGCACACATTGGAAGCTAAAGTTCGATAGCAATAGAATTGCACTTGAGAGTACTATGTAGACAGAAGCATCTTGGATGGACTTACCTAAGTAAGACAACTGCGCCCTTTGAACCCACCGCCAAGTCAGGCAGACCGTCATTGCTGTGGTCAAAAGATGACTGACTGATCGACATGCCGAAGAACTTCAGTCCTGACCTGACTTCAGAGCCAGCAATTCTCTATGTAAATGGCAATATTTAAATGAATCAAGTTGAAGAATGTAAAGATTTTTATCTTGAATACAGTGGCAAACATGGAGCCATGCAGGCTGGATCGCGCTCACCTGTGAGTAAGCAGAACTGATCCTTCCTCCTCCTTCGCCGTGGAATATGTAGATGCTGCCTTGACCGTTGTTCTCCAAAGGCGCTCCAACTGCCAACTCATTGAGATCGTCTATGTTAAGATCAGGCAGTACAGCGAGAGAAGACCCAAACCTTCCATTGTCAGATGCAGCCCCTCTCAGTACTGACGGAGAATCTAAGTGACACTCCACATTCTGGTGAAAATAGACGGACGAGAGTCGATGTATGCATGATCGTTAGAAAAACAAATAGATTCATTTTAAGGCACCAGATAAAACTGTCATTTACCAAATCAGTTAGGCTGCAAACGTAAACTCTTCCCTCTCTATCAGTGTCCACGAACATAGGGGCAGATATGAGGATTAGGTCAGTGTAGCTGTCACGATCAACGTCCATCGCACAAACAACGGCCCCAAAGTATTCACCACTCTGAAACTGTGAAAGCAACAAATTATCAATGAAAACAATTACATAAAAGAAAGCAACATCTTATGAAAACATATGTTTCACGTTGTCTTTCAGGACTGTTAATGCCTCTTTATTGTGAGCTCCCACCTGCCATGGAGAAGGATCAATCATTTTGTAAAGCCAGTTTTGGGGAACTACCATCACAGCACCTCGGTGTTGATATCTTGGAGCACCAACAATTGTTAAAGTGCCTTGCCTCGTTGTAGCGACTGCAATGGAGTAACCTAGAATCAAAGCCCATCAGTTAAAAGTCTGACCAACTGTGAGCAAACTGTCTCACCTTGCTTTTTGTTAGTTATTACCATTACCTCTGCGGAAAACATTTATGGACATTACATATTTCAGAATCTCCAAATAAACTTATTTGATTTCGACAAAGAGATTAGGCAACAACATGTTCCATAATATTGAAGTATTAAGGCTGAGAAGAGTCTTCATATTCATCATCATCAAGACATTTGTAAAAACATCATGATTTCTGACTCTTTTTTTGTCATTTCACATCTGACATAAAACACAAAATAAAATACTTTCTACATTACAATAAATAATAACTTAAAAAGTCGAAGCAAAGAGAAAAGATTAGAGTGGAGCAGTGCATGTAAATGGTGTACCTTTTGTGTTTACATTCTTACCCAGATAACTGTCAGCATCTATATTAGGCTCAAAGGAGCTCATCTTGAGGCTCGTCTTGCGGTGTGTCGGCAATGAGTATTGGAGGTAGCCTCCCTTCCACTCATTAGCACCGACAATACCCATCTGAATGCCCTTCAATTTAAACAGATATTTAATTGAACAGGCTTTCCAAACACAATTTCTTACACACTTCAACTAAATCCTGAACTTTTTAATGAAAGATAAAGAAGAAGCAATGAAAGTAAAGGGTTAAACGTAGTAACAATCTGAACTCTGGGTGGCACAAAGACGTGTGTTTGCATTGTCCAGGACATTTGTGGTGTTTTTTTGATTACCTGAGGCCCATAAGCTGCACTGAATCCTTCTTGAGCCATTTCCAATTTCAGTGAGTCTCCACTTTGTGATCCTGTAACGGCGACATAAATGAGCACAATAATCTCTCGATGCTGCACGCACAAATCTGTCTCTGATTTACAAAAAAGTCCATGCTTAGACTGAGATTGTATAAAGGTTCAAATGTGTCAATCTTTTATTTTTAAACTATACAACTATACCTTCAATAGAGAAGAGTTTGGCCTGCAAACTCTTCCTTATTTTTTCAAGTGCGGTAAAACTGTCCACTCGAAATACGTTTTCTGTGGGAGAAGATGCAATGGTGTCCAGTTCATGTTTTGCCTTAGCATTGAAAAATGCTTGCCCCACCTAGGGATGTTGAAAACAAGTGTTTGAGGATGTGCAACAGAGTTAATCAACTGCTTACATTTATTGATTTAAACTAAGGGACTTACTCCAATGGCAAATCGAATGATCTTTGCCTTGTCAGCTAAGTCTGCTGCAGATGGCAAATCATCCTTGTCGTGAGATAGTCCATCGGTAATGACGATCAAGATTTTCTTCACATTTGACCTGGAACCTCTTGTTGGTTTGAAAATGTTTGTGCTGTTGAAAGAAAGATGCCATTTCAATACACCCTTTTGCAATCTATTTGTCGTATCTATGGTTTAACATATTAACCATGTGGTGAACCATATGTATGGTTAATCATATTAACTAATAAACTAAAAAACGAATACATCGGGGCTCTGAAATTTGCAATTCACTTATCATGGGACTAAATGGTTCTATGTCTCTCAAAATTCAAACTATCATTATCTCAACTTTGACAGATGCAATACTTTGTGGCATTTAACTTAAATTAAGAATTCTTAAGCACTTCCTTCGCAAATGGAAAGTCATGATGATACTTACACCACATATTTGATGGCTTTCGCTGTGTAAGTTTGACTTCTCTGTTGTTTAATGTCATTAACTTTGGCTTCCCATGATTTAGTTCCAGAGAAAAATTCATTGAAGTAAAAATGGACTTGGGGAGAGGTGGCGAATTGGGCAATGGCAAACTGCAAAAACAGGAAAAACAGAATCTGTTCAATCAAAGAATTCAACAGATCAAAGAATTTAACACATTTAACTTCAACCATCTGTTAATTTAACAGTCAACTCTTAAATTTGGAACAAGAATTGTGGAATCATCACTTTTATTCATCCAGAAATAAGTTCACACAGCTTGTGCTAAGCACAGTGGCAGTGAAAACACACTTGTACCTGTGTGTCTAGTGGCAGGAGTGAGCGGACCAGATCTTTCACAAAAGTCTTCATTGTTAGAAAATCCATTGCCGCTACGCTGCCAGAGCCATCCAACAGAAATGCAATGTCTGCTGATGGGCACTCTGTCAAAGAGATTTCAAGTAACTTAGAAGTTGGTTAAAAAGCATTTGTTCCCACAGGACACATCACATAAATGCAGCAAACAGTATGCACATTCTGGACATTTCAATAAATACACAATGAATACTACATAACTACAAAACATTCCCTTTTATTGTGATATGTGTATTGTGTTTGAAACCCATTGTTTATTCACAACTAATGTTCCGACAGGATAATAGATTGTGGTATTCCTTATTTTCTTTTTTTAACATTCTTCTATGCATGTCAAAGGTCTGGTTTTAAATAACTGAAAACCTCCGGAGGAGGACACCTTCAGATGTGTTTGTACATTTATGGTACATTTGTGAAACTTTGTACAGACTCTGTCGGCCTGCAAAGAGACTTCCCTCCTGTGAATGTGTCACCTAAACACTGGCAGCCCACACAAATGAAGACAAAAGTTTGTTCAGCCTGTGACTGTGGACTGAAACATCAACTACCTCCACAGCTGATCCACAGCTACTGGTAAGCTAAACTCGGCCCACACCCACCTGCAGCATTCAACAGCAAGACACTTTAGCCTAGGACAGCAGATAAGTAACAAAATACTAACTTTACCTTGATTTCTGCAAAGAGTTTGATGCCAAAGTTTGTTTTGGTGCGGTTTTGGTAAGGAAAGTTTATATAGTTATCTAGTTTATATTCTATTTTTAACCGTTTTTTTCCTGTTCATTATACTGTTACGCTTCCAAATTATGCTATGGTTGCTGTTGCAGACGTATCTAAATAATATATTATTTGTTTAGCTATTTGTTCCAAATTCATTCACCTTGATTTATTTATATTCACTGTTAATTTAGTAAATAGATAACACATTGTTGCTAGTGTTGTTCCTTTCTGCGGAGAATAAGAGAACATCTAAAGGAAAAAAGATCTTACTACATCAGACAGAAGGTTTATTTAAATGTCTTCCTAAGTTGTTAAAGGTGGTGACCCGACAATACAAGTGATATTTATATTGCCAATGTCCATTTACTGGTATATTTTCACAGCATGCTGATATACTCAATATCAATATCTCAATATCTGATGGTGTCAGTGCTCATATACTCAAGAAAAGCCTTGAAGAGCCACAATGCACGTTATGTTGATTGTGTAAAGTATATAGTTTTTGTGTGTGTGTTTATTTTTCCATATTTACCTATATTAGAGGAAGGTATAGGACCTATAACTTGATCACCACTGTCTATCTGGAAGCATATACCACTGTACATGGTGATACTTTTGCAGTCCTTTGGGATGGTTGGACCACATGCCTAAAAAGAGACACGGTTAAGTTCTGATTAATAAATAATATGTTGCTGTGTGCATTGATGAAATGCAAGGCAAGGAAATTATTTCAGTGCAAGAAAGACATTTTCCCACAATGAATTGTGGATATTTGCAGTCTATCGGCTCACCAAAGTGTTTCGTGTGGAGGAATCACTTGCCATCGTCAAACCAAGAGACATGTTGACTGCATAGTCCACCCCTGCATTGAAAACATTCATCAGTCATGTTAAAACAGTCATTCTGAACCCTTTGTGATTGCACCACGGCAACAGTTTCAGTTTCAGAGACTACAAACCTCAGCTCCCACTAAAATACTTCCCCTATGTTATTTGGTAACTACTCACTGCTCTCTAACTGCACAGTCTTATCTGGCCTGTGACCAATTATCAGATGACTATACACATTCTGGTAACTGTTATTACCATTTTCAACAGCATTAAGTACTAAATATTTCAACCCTAACAAGTCATTATTCTATTACTGCGTCTCAAAATATGCAGAAACAAAAGTAACTCTGGTGGGAACAGGTAGAGTAATACATTAATTCTTGTTTTACTTAATCTGTTGGCCACTTTAGTCAAAACACCAAATATATAATTTTTAAGAAAGCTAGATTCATCCTGAAAACATATAAAGTGATCCACATAAAGTCTTGACCCCATCTGTTGGAAACCTGCTCTTAAAAATCAATAACCAACCCCCGAATGCTTTAATCGTTTAGGTTTAGTTGTATAGTTTGTGAGTTTTAGGAAACGAGAAGTTGCTTACGGGGAACCTCTAGTACACTGCAGGATTCGGTGGAACACTTGTATATTTGTCCTCCTTGTGAAAACTGTGCAAGAGGAGCACTGACCAGCAAGCTGAGAAAAATACAACCGGACAAACTTGTGAAAAAGCAATATAGATACATGAATCACATTTCTGTCAATATGGAAATGATTGATTGGTATGAGACATTTACATGACAGAAATGCTAGTCGTTAACATTTGGCTAGTGTAGGCCCGTGTTCCAAAACAACACTTTGACTTACTCTGATCGCCTCTGCACCACCTGGTACCCAAAACCTGCAGCAGATTGAGTCAGGCTCTTCCAGGCGACGGGATCGATGTTAAAACAAAGTGCAGCTTTTAACACTGAGGAAGGAAGAAGAAACAACCAGATTTAAAAGCCACATTGACACACTCACTGAGGAACTAGAAGATAATGTCAGGCAATCAAAGTATTTGTAGGATTTTGACCGTTTTTAGAAAACCTTGTGTTATGGCCGAAAAAGGAAGGCTTCATTTGCGCAACAACAAAAAATCAGGCAAAGGAATTGTATGTGACCTACTTTTAGTACATTTTTATTGGTGTCTGCCACAGATAACACCACAAGAATGCGCCAACGTCAGACATTTTCTAATTCTAAACATAGAGGCCCTAAATATTTATTACATTTAAAAACATATACAAAATGTAATGTTTCTGTATACTTTTGTATTCTGATACTCTGTAACACCTCTTCAATTCTTTAATGGCAGAAACTAGACTGAAGTATACAACTTTCCATGGCAACATGTAGGAAGTTGTCCTTCTATATTTGCCTTCACATAGATTATCTGACATCGGGTGTTTTTTCTTGCACAAAGAAGTCTTCCTTTTTTTTCTTTTTTTTTGGCCTTAACACAAGGTTTTATAAAAATGGTCAAAATGATACAATACTTTGACTGCCTCACAAGTTCCTCAAGATTGCGAGAGATTATGTGAATAGATGTGCTGCTGACAATCTTCCTCTAATAGATCTGTTGAAGCTCAGACTGACACTGCTGCTTTGTCACCTCTGATAGTTATTAAAGGTTCTTCGTATCACGTATCAAAGTCTGACAAAATTACATCATTTTTGCTGATGTAGTTTCTCCAGAAAAATAAATGCATAAAAAAAGACACTGGTACAGTCACCATGAGAGTAATGCCCCCAGGTTCTGCTTTTTCGCCTCAGTTAGGGAACTGTCGCCTTCATGGCTTCAGAAAGACAGAAATGTTCTATTATTTCATTCACGTCCCAGATTTCTGTTGTGTTAGGGTGCAATCTGTATTGTAACTAAATCACTTAATATATGCTGAAGCTAAACCACCAGTAGCAGAAATATCACTACGGCGGCTACACAGATGTAACGAATCGATATATTGATCTGCGTTTAAGATCTTACATTCAGGTGGTTATGGGCCAAGGAACTAGTGTTTAGTTTGAGTGGTTATTTATAAAGCACTTTTTAACTCACGGCTCTTGAACCGAGAAGCGTAATTGTATTTATCTTGGATTTTGTGGCTCGAGAAAATTGTTTTCGAAAAGGCCATGCCCACTTTTGATTTTTTTTACAAAAACATTTTTGCACTCCTCTTCCTCCAATCTTCACCAAATGTATTGTACAATATATTTGGATGACCCTGACAAAATGTTTTGTATTTGTTTTTTGATGTGTCGTAGCGTGTTCTTGTAATTAGACTCTTGCATGCGTGATCTGTTTGTTACAAACTGCTGTAATTCTTGCAAACATCTACTATTTGATAGCATTACAATAATAGATGCTGCTACGACGTCATAAGTTTAAATGATCATAAACATAAACTTTCCTAATATTAAATAAAGAAATTAGAAAAAGCTTTATAGGGTCAGAGTAAACTCAGCTGGTCACATATTGATTACATACTGTTATTACAGCTATTCGTCTTTTAGCCCTGGTGGTGTTTAAAATAACACAAATAATAATTTGTGATAATAAGCCTTCAGCATGCTATAGGAACATAACTTAGTAATAAAATGTCATTAAAAGAAATGACAGGATCATATTGTCACTGCTGGCTCAAGTATTCATAAAGAGATAAAATGAGGATTTATAAACTTGTCTTACCTGACAAGAATAGTGTTGTAGTAATTGTCCACTCCATTGTCCAATGGAGAACGCTAAAAGCTTCACAGAGCTCACACACATTTATTTGGAAACTATTGTACTTTGTGGCGACCTACAACTATTTCTTTACCACTGAAACTGTGGGGGGATGTTGATAGCAACATACAGACATCATAAGGTGACAGCTCCGAGCTGAGGCAGCCAGTTAGAGGAACTCTTGTGTAGGAGGGGTTACAACAGTTTCTGTTTTATATTTGCACACTCTGTGTTCCACTTTATTTCACAAAGAATAGGCATTGTATCATTTGGATTCAATCACCCAAGCACACATTTTTCCACACAATAATCTACCCAGTGAAGTGGATACTGATGATAGTTTGGATGCAAGGCTGACAATTAAATAATGAGTAATGTACCTAACTTAATGACACCTTAGCTCTAACCACCGCTCTCTTTAGGTGTGGTGCTAAATTCCTTGCTGGTTTTATTCAGAACATGAAAGTGTTTTCATCAGAACTTTAACATGTTTTCACCACTTTCAATCTCCACAGGGCAACAAGGCCTATTGGCCATTCAGCTGTAATGTGTATCTCCAACGTGGTTCCTTTTTTCCCCAACAGTGCTGCTGGTGGTCACCCTGAGACCAGTCGGAGAGAGAAGACGCTCAATTATTATCTGATAATCAACTTAAGGTAAATGATTACATCCAACTATAAACATTTCCTCATGAAAAGGAAATCTAAAAATAAGAAGGTCCACTTCTTCTTTTTGCTTGACTTCCTCTGCCCTGTCTCATCCAATCTGTAAGCCTGTGGGCCAGTTTCATAGGAGTCAAACACTCAGAGTTGGTCAAATATCTTCTTGTTGTTGCTCTTTCTATCTTCTTGTTCTCAAAGGATTACTGTGAATTTTAAAGCATCAACTCGATGTACTATGATGTTGATGAAGTATGGTGCCATTCGTTTTCCACTGTCTAAGGACACAAATCCAGGAATTAATTCAGCTGATTGGATATAGGCTTTGTATAATTACGCCATGAATAGCTTTACCACTAAACCAAGCAATGGTGCTTATTTTGTGCTCTGCACTCTATACATGTTAACTCATTCAGCCCACAGCCTCTGTTCAGGAAGTGAACCTATTTCCCTGCAGCTGCTCAAAAGCGATAAGGTGTTCGATGCTCTGACCATCACAATGATGCGAAACTTCACATCTTTTCAAACGTGTGACTTGTTCATTCTTTTGAATTATCTGAGTGAGAAAATTAGACAGATATAAAGTGCGTTGCAACTTGACTATGTGCATGCGCAACCTTCGCCAAGCTCGTCAGTTGACCCTTTCCTGACAGGCAAAGAAGATCATGAAAGGTCACCAAAAAGGTCAAGGATCAATGCACTTGTTGCTATATCTGGATGTGATTTCTAAGGGCAGGTTAGCTATGTTGTCACATGCTCTCCAAGCCTCTGTGTGAGTCTGCTTGTGTGTCTGTGTGTACTCTTAGTACATACTGCATGCATATAAGTTATCTTCCCCCACATACCCTTTGACATGACCTTTGGATGCCGAGATACTTAGTTGAGACAGCAAATTTTCAACTAACTGCACTTGAAAAGTGTATGAAATCTACTATTTTACTCATTGCAGCATACACTCGTACAGCTGCTTACACTGTAAATGCTTTAAACTAGAATTTACAGAGTGCAGTGATGTGGTAGGAAGATGCATGATTCTGTTTAAGAAGAATGTGGTGAGCGAAGACATCAAAGTGAGGCTAATTCCTTCATGTCATTTCTTTTTTTTCCAAATATCTACCTGCCTATTCACACTATGCCTTCACACAAAATATCTACTTGTCTTTCTCCTATACTTCCCACCCTAACGCTCCCTGACTATCACTTTCTCTGCCATTCACTGAAACACTCTTTGCCCTTTCACTGGCTGCTCACCAACATTAGTTAGTCCGGCCCAGTCTCTCTGAAGGTCACGAGCCATCTCTGGTTGCGCCGGTTCTTTTTATAGCCGGGCAGCTGAAATGTGAGGGGTCACAATGGGAGGATAAATACTAGGGCCAGCGGGCTGCAAGAGTGTCGCAGACGAAAGCCGGATCTTCTCCTCCCTCTCTCTTCTCTCAGCTCTCCTCCCAACCTCAAAGGTAAAAGAACAGAACATTTCACAACAGCTATGACATAAATGCATTACTTTAATTGGCCTTTTGTGCTTCCTGTTTCATATTTTGTTCCTATAATGCATAAAGGGCACGGCCTAATTGGCACATACTAGATATGTAATTTCTGGTTCCCGTGAAAGCAAGAGATTCAGTATTTGAGAGCCATATTTTACCCACAGACGTTTTCGCTCTTACTAACCTCTGATATACTAAAACAGACCGAAATATCTCAGTTATTTCAAATATACATTCACTGTTGTCCCTCAGCATTAAATATCTTCATGTTTCATATTGTTACACAATGCAGTAATTGTCATTACTATGTGGTTTAGCTCATATCTCATCAGTGGATCACTGGTTGTTGCTATGCCCCTCTTAATCTGATGAAAAGTTTCCACTGCATTGTTTCTGTGAGGTCATTTGTGACTCACCAGTTTGACTCCTTTTTTTAAACTGTCTAAATTTGTCCAGGCTGTGTGTTGCTTAATTGAGTGACTTCTGAACAGAAGGGTGTGAAGCTGCACAATTCTCTTTAATCTAATGCCTTTTCTTGCTTGGCCAAAGGGCTTTCATTGCCTTGCAGTAGTACACTGTGTATATTTAGTCCAGCCAAATGATAGCGGATGCACAGACCAGACAGGGGGAAGGGTGTTGAGGAGGTGTGTGATAGAATAGCAGGGAGGTGGAAAGTGGAGGGGAGGGGGCAGTGAAGGAAGAGGGAAAGGTCAGGGATAAGAGGCTAGAAAATGGAATAGGTTACTCACATGCTTGTCATGATTTTTCAAGGGTGGTCAGATACAGAGGAGGGTGCGAGGGCTCTCTGACACTGGATCCCCTTTGCCACTGCATATTGGGAGTGGGGAATAGTGTGTGACCCCAGCACATGAAGTGTTCTATTGCACTGGAACAGTTATAGCTGCAACAACTGCAGTCACACAGTTGCGGCAACAGCTGGTCCTTTTTATTTTAGAAAATATAAAACAGACAGGAAACATCAAACCACATAGTCAGTCTCTTCTTTCCCCATATCCTTCTCACAGTGAACTTCTTTCATCAGGCAGTTTCTCATGCATTCACAAGAAGAACCACAGCCCAGAGTGTTAAACTCTGCACCTTGACTTTTGTTGAACTTTCTCCCGATGCACCTCTGCGAAAATTAAGTCCTGTGTCTTGCCTATTAGCCAATTGAATATTTCCTTATTTCTCTACCTTTGTCTTCCTCCTACAGTCAGGATGCCTCACGCATATCCCTTCCTCACTCCTGAGCAGAAGAAGGAGCTCAGCGATATTGCTCAAAGGATCGTCGCTCCCGGCAAGGGAATCCTCGCCGCAGACGAGTCCACCGGTAAAGAATTTCAAGAAAATGGTCCCATTATAGTTTTAAAATATCATTCATCATTTAGGATGATCAACATTCATCTGAAAAAGCAAGTGTAGTAGATTACCTCATTAAACTGACTGCCAACATCTGGTTGTGAAAAGTGAAACCAATATAAAAGTGACTTAAACTTGCATTTGTTCTACTGACCAGCAGGGGGCGACTCCTCTGGTTGCATAAAGAAGCCTGATTGTATAGAAGTCTATGAGAAAATGACCCTACTTCTTACTTGATGTATTACCTCAGTAAACATTGCAAACACTAGTTTGTAGTCTTCATCGATACAGCTTGATGTTATTTTAGTAAATTAAGAGTAAAATAGGCGATAAAGCAGGGTATGCTTTAGGGCGTGGCTACTTTGTGATTGACAGGTCACTACAACGGCGGTATCCAGTATGCCAGTTGTCCCTGTTTTAGTCTTACAACTTAAACCTTTTCATGGATTGTTTTCAGTTCATGAAAGTTAATTGTAACATTTTGGCCACCTAAAAATCTCTTGTTCGGCTGTACTTAGCACTTCCCTCTGCTGTCACTTCTGGTTGCAAAAATACTACAGAGCTGGCGTGTGTATATGTGATAAGGAAGTTACTCAAAACCTGTGTGAAATAGTCATGAAAACTATGACAGGCTCAACTGTACATTTGTCAGAACTAACACTTGTTTTGCAAGTCTGTAAAAGCTCAAACGAATACTCAACAAACAGCACAGATGGATCCAGTTTTCATTTATCTTGTGTCTCCTGAACCTCTAGGCAGCGTTGCCAAACGCTTCCAGAGCATCAATGCTGAGAACACTGAGGAGAACAGGAGGTTGTACCGCCAGCTCCTCTTCACCGCTGATGACCGCATCAACCCTTGCATAGGTGGCGTCATCCTCTTCCACGAGACCATGTACCAGAAGACTGACGGTGGAAAGCTCTTCACCCAGTACCTCAAAGAAAGAAACATGGTGGTGGGCATCAAGGTTGACAAAGGTGTTGTCCCCCTGGCCGGAACCAACGGCGAGACAACCACCCAGGGTGAGCGAAGAACAGATCGAGACGGTCAACATCTTTTAATACCTTTGTCTTACTTACCCGGGGTGTCCTCTCTCCCTCTTTCACAGGTCTCGATGGACTGTATGAGCGCTGCGCCCAGTACAAGAAGGATGGTGCTGACTTCGCCAAGTGGCGCAGTGTGCTGAAGATCACCCCCACCACTCCTTCAAGACTGGCCATCATCGAGAACGCCAATGTCCTGGCCCGTTACGCCAGCATCTGCCAGATGGTAAGAAACAAAAGCCATAATTAAATGTTTTCCTTCATGGCAAGGACAGATAAAAGTACTGTATATAAATTATCAGTAGAAAAAAACCAGTGTGTGTCAGCTCAAATACCAACTAAATTATAGTAAGGAATTGGCAATGGCCTCAAAAGCTATATCAACACCTTCACTTATTGTATCATGAAAAAATGTAGCGTTTTTTGTTTTGCATGACATGCATTTATTGTCAGTGGAACACATATGATAAGTTATCTATACCGTTCAAAACCTCTGAACAAGCAACCAAATGTAAATCTTCTGCACTGTTAAGTGCGTATATTGCAGATAATGCCAACTCACCATGGTTTCCAATTAGGCCTCTCTTATCAATAAATTTATCATATTAGAGATTTCTATTTCTTCTGTAAATGGAGAGATGAAAGAAAGCCGTTTTAACCTCTGACCCTGATAGAAGACTGAAGTAGACTTATAAAGATGAGATTCAGAAAGCCTGTGTTGTAACTTTGGAAAATGACGAAACAAATACAACCTCCTCAAATTTAAACCCAGTTTAGAAACCACTGAAACAATAAGAAACTATTAAATACTATACACTATGACCCCACTGCGGTTCTTATTTCTTGCCTCCTTGTTATACACTAGCCTTTGACAGCCCCCCGCCAATGCTAACACAGTCATTTTGACTCCTTTTGTCTCTGCCCTTCTCAGCACGGCATCGTCCCCATCATTGAGCCTGAGATTCTCCCTGATGGTGACCATGACCTGAAGCGCTGCCAGTACGTTACTGAGAAGGTCCTGGCTGCCGTCTACAAGGCCCTGTCCGACCACCACGTCTACCTGGAAGGCACCCTGCTCAAGCCTAACATGGTCACCCCCGGACACTCCTGCTCTCACAAGTACAGCAACCAGGAGATTGCCATGTCAACTGTTACTGCCCTGCGCCGCACTGTGCCCCCTGCAGTCCCTGGTGAGCTGGACGCACACAATACTCTGTTGTTGACATGCACACATTTGCAAAATTTGCAGACACAATACAGTCTGCATGACGTTCACTGAAATGCCTGGACATGTGCATTGCTAAACTCTCATGCGCCTCCTGTACAGGCGTTACCTTCCTGTCTGGTGGCCAGAGTGAGGAGGAGGCTTCCATCAATCTGAATGCCATGAACCAGTGCCCTCTGCACAGGCCCTGGGCTCTGACCTTCTCATATGGCCGTGCCCTGCAGGCCTCTGCCCTCAAAGCTTGGTGCGGCAAGAAGGAGAATGGAAAAGCATGCCAGGAAGAGTTCATCAAGAGAGCCCTGGTATGTGTGAAGAGAGATAAAAATGTTAAAAAATATATATAAGTATGTCTGTATATATAGCAGTAGAATTTAGTTCTGAGAACTGTACAGATTGCAAACATCAGACTTCAATATTGTATTGTGCATTCAGTAAAACTGTCTTTTTTGTCTCTCACAGGCTAACAACCAGGCCTGCCAGGGCAAATATGCTTCCTCTGGAGTTAGCGCTGCTGGTGCAGATTCACTGTTTGTGGCCAACCACGCTTATTAAGCATCGCCACTCAATATTTCCCTTTCCACCTTTATCCTTTCATCATGGAAAAGGCCATGACTTCATAGGCACCACCGATGAAACTAAACAACAGCACTTTCACCGAATATTGGTTGAAAGTGAAAGAGAAAACTTCCGTTTTGGGTTGTTGCTGCAGCCATTCTGAGAAAATGTTCTGCCTCCATTCCCTTACGTTTTATTTTTAAAACCTTTTTTTAGGTGAAGATTCCCACAATGTTTTACACAACTTGTAATATTTTTTCCTTGGCCTGATACCACCGAGTGAAGTTAATGGTACCATGGAATAAAGTATTTACCCGTTCATGTTGCTTTACTTCCTTTTTGAGTCTTTGCACTACAGTTTTTTATGTTCACATGTAAACAACAGTAAAGAGCTGTGCCTTAACAGAAGTAACAAGAGTCAGAAGGTGTTACAGAGTTGGTCTTTACACGTCGACACAGTTCTGACAAGAGGCCTAATGAAACAACAAGTGAAAGTATCTGTGTGGTTGAACCAGACTTCAACTAACCAAAGACTAAAATAATACCAGTTCCCAGAACCACCAGGTCATCTAAGGAGGGGTGCACCGACCCAGGTCGGAGACGGAGCAGGTCAAAGCCCCCGTGCCGCTCAGTAGTGGGATCGCGCCTGTGAATAGACGCTGTAGTGCAGCCTGAGTAACACAGCGGGACCCAGTCTTTTTACACTCTTTCTACTGTTCAACAAACAGCTGAGACAACAAAAAATATCTTTGTATGTTACAACAGCTCCACCGCAGCTTCTTTATATTCTAGTTCCCATGAAAACGTTCAGAAACTAGTTGTGTTTGTTTGTCCTACAGCGCCTCCACTTGGAGGAGACGAGCAATGAGCATCAATCACAGCAGTCAGTGCAGCACCACAGATACAGACAACTAACGGGGCTTTCTTTACGACATTGGACCCTTACTGTAATAAATGTAGCCTACTTCTCAATATGAAGCAACAATAAACAAAACAAAACAAGTTTTTTGGACCATGAATGCAGCTTGTGTGTAAAATACACTGAGTCCTCTGATCTGGGTGATGAGACGAATAACTACTGATAATATGACTGTGACAGAGAAAAACTTATAAAACCAGCGATAATAAATTGGTACTCTTTTCTCATGAATATGTTAAAAATAAAACAGCATTACAACTACCATGAAAACTGAAGTGATAGCGGTTATCCAAAATGTGTTGATGTAAGTTTTTCTGTTAGGTTGCCCACCATTAGCAAGTAAAATATGATAATTTGTCAATTATTTTTAAACTTTAAAATCATAATACTCATTAAAGTTTTTTTCCAAACTGAAATAAAATACCTGACCAGAGTGGCTTAGCTAAACAAGTAAATAAAATTATTGTGCTGCAATAATTTTTTTAAAGTTTCGTTCTCTGTCAAGAAAAGCATGTTAAGCTGTGCTATATGTCACTTTGTTCATCCACTCCTCTAACACTTAACGTTATTTACTAGTTACGACAAGGTGTTTTTAACTGGTTGATGCCTCTATTTCACCTAAATAAGCAAATAAGACCATCATCGATGAGATTGTCTATTTCTATAATTATTGTTCTTAACGCTTGTCAACAGGTTTGATTTCCCGCAAAATCTGATGAAACGATTTACGGCACGTAGACTGGAAAACCTGTTTATTTTCACAGGCAAAGTTTCACATGTGTTAGTCAGTTAAAAGCAAGCAGGGGGATTTTCCTTTAGAGATTTTTATTTTTAATATTTGATATCATATTTTTACACATTGTGGTTATAGCTGATACTGTAGGTCAAGATCAGCAACATTTTAAAATAAAGAATCGACAGATATGTAATATGTCTATTTTTTATAGCCTACATTTCGGGATCACCGTATAAGGCTCTGGTAGTCGTATACGGTGTCTCTACGTCACACCTCCGCAGTCCAAATGTGTCATTTCCGTTCACTGGTTGCAAAAAAACAAGATGGCAACGGCCAAAATGCTGAACTCGATGCTTCAAAACGGCAGTCCACAACCCAACGAGTGACATCATGACTAGGTCCACTTCTTATATACAGTCTAGGATTTAAACAAATAAGTTAATAATAAAGTTGGGTGAAAATAAATCAGTAAGGGAATTAAATGGAAAGTAATTTAGTTAAATAAAGATATAAGTAAATGGTGCCCTGGAGATTAAGATTGACATAAACAAGGGAGGATGTAAATAGCTGGGTATATTTTAAAATAAAAAGTTGGGGCCAACAAACTCCAAAAACTCAGATTGTGAATTTAGTTTCTACTATTGCGTTTGATTGGTTACTTAATTAAGATATTAGTTAGTGTCACCTGTACTAATTGGTCAGGAAGAGGGAGAGACGCAAGAGAAGGAAGGAGTCCAGGCAGACAGAGAAGGGAAACAGCAGCAGTAAGTTTAGACAACAACTCGCACTTTTCTCTTTTTAATCTCGGTTGATTAGCTGTTTGTGTGTTTGCATGAGCCAGAATTCTGTGAGTAACTACATTGCTTAACAATAGCAGCTAGCGGGAGTAATGATGCTAACTGCTCAGCTGTCGGCGGCTAACTGATTAATTGATGTATTGGTTGCATTTCTCTGGAAACAGCTGTTTAGTGTGCGTTCCGAGGAGGATTTGATCTCTGCTGCTGCCTGGTTCCATCTTTCGCACAACGAGCTGTTTCTCCAGGACTGTGAGTTGGACTTTCTTTGTTTTTGCTATGTTAAGGACAATGATTATGTTGACCCACCCGAAGCAAACATTAAGCTCAGTTTAGTTCAATTTAGTTTGCATGTGTTGGCCGACTGTCCGGTTTAGAGTTAAATATTTCAGCTGGGCTTTTTTAAGTGGGAAATGGTGGTAAAAGGATGACAAATAGAGATTTATCCGAAGAACCTTGAGAGGTTTTAAGTTGCATGTGGAAATAATAGCGGTAGCCCTACTTTTGTTTATTATTTCAAAGGTTAATATTTGTTAATTGAAATTAGTCTTATTTCTGTTATTTCTCCACGTTGGAGTGTGGTCGCATATAATAGTGATATCCAGTCTAAAGCATTAGTGGCTTTGGCACGGTCTGAATTTGCAGCGGGAGGCTGTCTGAACACAGTGCAGAGTCGCCGCCATCTAGTCCGATTTTTGTTAGCACTGCGCCGGACTCCTTTTAAATGTTATATTGCTTGTCAGCAACTAGCTTTAAATATTGTGGCATGTGGATGTCGAGAAATGACTTCGCGAAGTAACTGATAAATATTTCCCTCTGAACCCCAAGCAGTGTTTTGCTCCTGTCACATTTTAAGCTTTGTTTATACTCGCGCTTGTGCACCGTATAGCGCAAGCCTCCGCAGACGGCGCACAAGCTCCGAGCATGAACAATTTAATTTGACTCGCAAAATATTTACTCAAATGAAGATTTTTAAGACTTCCTGTTTATAAAGCATTTCAAAACGAATTGGCCTATTTTGTTTAATCCCTAGACATGTAAATAGTGCTTTTTATCAGTGAACTATTTGTGACAGTCACGTGACTACGTGCGTCAAGTTACACAAATGCAGAGGTGCTGGATAAGGCTATGAGGTTATCATTCACACAAAGTACTTTTTAAAAATTGTGTTGTGGAATCTGAATAAAACTCAAGGCATCAAAATCGGTATTGAATATCTTCAAACTATTCCCAGAAATGGTACCAATTCAGACTAAAATAACTAAATCCATTCATTTTCTTTAGTTTCAGATCTCAATTTTAGATTCTTAGTCTTTTAATTTCCTCCCATTGTGACTGATGGAGAAAAACAGACCATGTTTTATTATTTGTTTTAATATGAAGGGTGAATGGTTTTATATAATTATCTTTGAAAATGAGAGATGATTTCAGAAAGTAGTATAATCTTTGTAAAATGGTTAAAAGACAAACAACTCAACACAACAACAGAAGAAATCTAGATGTTTTTTGCGTTAAACTGTGCTATTGTGTTGCAATGTTCGACAGGAACACTGCCACTAAGATGACAAGAAATGTAAGCTCAGTTCCAACAGATGAGGCTGCTGTGGAAGCTGATGTGGAAGTTGTATTTGGAGCTGCTGTGGTCCCATTTTCAGAGACTGAGTCACGGCACATAAAGCTGTTGTCTTCGTCAGTGCCACTGGAGCTGAATGTCACAAAGCTAACTTTTGCCCCCGCCACTTGATCCAAGATCCAAGTCTGGAACTGAGATACTCGGGCATAGACTTCAGGGAAACCAGCCTGGGCACAAGGTATTCCAAAACTGGTAATGCCGCCCTGGATCCACTGTGAGGCTTGTTTGCATTGCAAAGGTCCACCAGAGTCCCCCTGAAAAAGAAGGGACGATACAGTTAGTTGATACTGGGGATGGGTACCGGAACCCAAAATTCTCTGGTGCTAAATTATCAAAGACCAGATAATTCAAAATCCTACAACAGTGGATTATTATTTTAACCTGGCATGCTCCTTTGTTCTCTTGTCCCGCACAAATCATTTCATCAGTGATGTTTGCATCTGCTACTGGGCGGTAGTTGCAGCTGCACTGCTTTTCTCCAATGACGGGAATCTGAACCTCCTGCAGTGAGTCAAAGGCTATTAAGGGCTCTGTGGGAGGAAGAGTATAAAGTCAGAAGATGGTGTTTATTGCCGGTGTTTTTGCACAGTTTTAAGGCGATTTGTTTTTTGCTGGTTTTCTCATCAAATAACTTTTGTTGATCGCTGAGGTTTTGTTATTGTTTTTGTGTGTGTGTTCTGAGACGAGCCCAACAAGAGCCAAGAAGTCTTCTGACAATGCAATAGTTCTTGCATCATCATCATTAATTAGTTTGTGTCACACTGAACCCTGGGGCCGACTTACCGAAACTGGTTTTGAAAAAGAGCTGTGTGACTGGAGGATTAACTGTCAGGAAACAAGACTACGAGTCTGAAGCATGCTAGCGGCTCTGTAAGGCTGCACCAGGCACAGCAGTATGCTAACATGCTCACAATGTCCATGCTAACATGTTGATGTTTAGCAGAGTTACTATCTTGGGTTATCATGTTAGCATGCCAATACTCACCATCCCTTCCAAGTCTGCCCCAACCAGTGGCCCAGCAGGGGGTGGAGGTGTGAAACTGGCTGGAGTTACTTGCCAGACAGACGGGTCTGATGTAGTCGGTGAATATGACGGGGCGTTGGAGCTTCATAAGGGCAATGTCGTTGTTGAACAAAGTGTTGTTGTAGTCGGGATGGACGATGATCTGGGACACGGTGCGGCTTACCTCATTAATGTTCAGGCCAGACTGAGTCTCTCTTCCAAAGTAGAGAATCCATGCACTAGGTGAGCTTCTGGATAAAAGAATAAATCAATGAATACAAATCATTAAGATTAACAGGTTGCAACAAGTTTTATCAGAACTAGACAGCATGTGTATCAGTACATTTCAGTTCCTCAATCAAGGAAAAGCAAAGATCTGACCCACACCACTCTGATAGTAAAATCCTGTTTACCAAGAATGAAAAGAACCAGAATCAACATAAAAGATGAAACGGATGACCTGGGGACGAAATGAACCCAGAGATTAAAAACTTGGTTTTCAAACAACTGATCAGAGTCTTTGAGACCAGGAATCACCATTGCAACGGGTGAATAAAAGACGGAGCCTCCACTTTAATCTGGTGGACGTAGAGATATTTATGCATTTATATGTAGACTGTGCACAATTTGATTTAAATTTGATTTATTTTCTTTTTAAACGGGGCCTGAGTCAGAGCGAAAGAAGTGACGTTTATAACGGCACCTCCGTTTAATGTGGCGTTGAACATGTGCATCGGGCAGCGAATAGCATCCTAAGCTTCATACAGATTCTTTTTCAATTAAAATTACACATTAGGAGCAACAAACATTTTAGTTTAAAACTCTTAACAGACTGCTGTCTTCTGTGTCAGTGGTTCTTTTTTTTTTTTAAATGACATAACCAAACAAGAAAAAAGTTTAAGCCACCCAGCTTCGATATTACATGGAGAGGTATAATATTCCAAGTCTAGGTAGGGTTTATGAAAAAATGCTTAAGCCAATTTATTTCAAATATATTATTGAAAACTCCAAAAATGAAGCTTACCTTTCTTTTGTAAGAATTCATGAGAATTGTTTTCCTCAGGAGATATTTTCCATATGATATTGAAGAACATTTGGTCGATCTCTTTCAGCAGTTTGAAATCAAGTTGCAGAGCCCAAGCTGCATATGTCAGTCATGAGAATTATTCCTCTTTCCCCTAACGAGATTCCTTGGGAGCCATTAGTTTAATTTTCTTTGATTTGTTTTGTATAATATGATTGAAATGTAACAGACAGAGATTTGGTTTTGATTTTGCAAGAATAGCTGAGTTGCATCTGCCAGCTGAGTAATGATTCATTTTCTACCAATAGAAGATCTTTCAAGACACTCGCTGTAATATGGACTGCAACAAGCTTAGCCACTAACAGGAAGACGCACAGAGAGGTGGGACATTCCTGTCTAATGCCTCTAGACAGATTAAATATAGGAGTTTTACCGCCCATTAGTTTAATACAACTATTAATATTCTTAGAAATTGTTTCGATGGCTTTTGAAAATAATGATCAAAGCCAAAAGTCTGTAAAATGAACGGATGCTCCACTTTATCGAAGCTCGAAAGCTTTTTAGATGTCTGACAATAAAACAATTAATCAACAGATGCAGGTGCGATGAGTTTTTCTTACATTGTGATGCAGTGGGCTGCTGTGAGTACCCACTGGTCACTGATCAGGGTCCCCCCGCAGATGTGAAAGCTCGCGAAAGTGATGTGCATGCTGACCTGCCAGGGCCATGATCCAGCAGTAGCATTCTCACCACCCACTATCCTTGTGTTCAGACGTGCCTGTCCACAATCTGACAGAGCATAGACAACTGTGTGTCAGTACAAATACAATAAAGTGAGGCTGATTCATGAGGGACGCTTAAAATGTTGGAGTAAATGAAATGTGACTGTGCTTACCCTGAGCCTTTGACCCTGTAGGAAAGAGAGAGGAGTATTAGTAATGAAGTAGATATGAGTAACTACAGACACTAGGTGGCACTACAGTTTCAGCTACAATGCAACCTCAGGAGGCTTCAGCTCAGCCCTTTCGGCCGGAGCCTGACACGGGTTAATGTTACCCTCTGACATGAGATGCTGCGTTGAGGGCTCAGCAAGACATTTCTCTGTTCTCAGCTGAGATTGCCGGCATAGCGCTGCAACACTTGTCTTTCGGTTTTATTGAAGGCATTCACTTCTAAGAATTCTAACATTCTACAGTATTGTTTGTATTTTTATTTGTTATTGAATAAGACACATTTCAGAAAAGGTTTGGCGTGTTTGTAATGCTGAGTGATTAAAAAATAATATCCGAATACCCAAATTGAAACCGAATACATGCACAACGAATGAATAACACACTAGTCGAATATTCATGTCCAGCCCTAGTCTTTATGAAGTTCATATTCGGGTCATATTTAAAGGTGTTTTTAAGTCTGTAAAAGAACCAGACATTTCAGGACGGTACAATCCAGCACATCTACATTTAAAAAAATTACCATAAAGTCAAAACCTCTCTAACACTGTTCACAAAAACTAAACATGAGCTTTAAAAGAGATGATATATTGGTTTGAAATACATAATAAACTGGTAAATCAGTGTAAAGCTCACCTTGTCCAGCGAGGACGGCACATATCGGGAGGATCCCCACAGTCCAGGCTGCCATGCTGTGCTGTCACAAACCTTTTGCCTTCAGTCAGCGCAGAGAGCTCCTCTGATTGAGCGTCATAGTTCATAAACACTGCAGTGTTTTATACACAGTGAGCACTCCCATGCCCAACCCTGTTTTTCAGGGAGCATTGAAAATTGATGGCCTCAAAGATAACATAGGTCATTTATCTCTTTTTCAACAACATAATTTTACCAAAGGGTAGCTTGTAGTTTTGGTTACCCGACTAATTTACATAAGTTAACGTGGATTTCACAGGATACAGACTTAGCTGGCTTTCACTGTAACAAAGCTCACGGTACCGCTAGCTACTATCTCTCTCTCTCTCGGAACGGTGAATGTCCTACCAGAAACTTTGGATCAATGTCGCTCCTTATTTTCACAACCCACTTGCAACGGATTTCAGGATGTACAGGAAAATAGTGAAAGGTCTTACTCCGTCAGCAGTCTCTCCTCTTGGCATAGACAGTGGCTGATATCTCTGGGGGCACCAATGATAATCATGCACTTGCATGAATGTGACCATGTGCAATTTTGACTTATGCTACCATTTTATTCGCAGTCTGGCACTGTTGCAACAGTGGAAAGACTAACCAAGACTGAATTGTGTTCGACGATGAGTTAAGAATGCAGTTAAGCCTGCTCTTAGTTAAGTGCAGAAATCAGAATTGTTTTATTGCCAAGTATGATTCACATGAAAAAGGGCTTGGTTATTGGTTCATGACAAAAGACACATTCCAGTACTATAAGCAACGTGGAAATTTGCCAGACAGATGTGCCTGATGAGAACGCGGAAACATTCGGCCAATAATATCATCTGTCGCCAACAGTTAGTTTCAGTTCCGTATTTCCCTTGTTGGAGCGTCAACTACGAGAAGTCTTTGTGTCATTAAAGCTGTTTTGTTTTTATTGCTTCATGATTTAGTTTTTCTGCAAACATTTTACTGCTAAGTAAGCTAACCAACACAGGCCAATGGTCTGAGGCTAGCATGTGGCTAATACAACAATCTTAGCTAACATTGCTGTTTTGTCAAATTACTGTTAGGAAAACTGACTTATGTATTTTACCCTTTTCACTTTGCCTCTTGTGGACTCGTGTATGTTTACTAGAGTAATTACTGTTGTGAAGTACAAAAATGGAACAATTTACAGACCTGAATGTCAAGGACTCTACTCGTTTACGTCAAGATTTACATATTTCTTTTGTTCTTTATGTACATTGCAGCCATAGGAAAAAAAATTCTATGATTTTTAAGATGGAAGAGTTTGACTCCAGTAATGCTGCTGTGAACCAGGTAATGGCTACCAATTGCATGTTAGCTACTAAAGAGTTACTTTGTCCTTAATCGTGGGCAAGCAGCCTTTAGATGCAAATGCAGAACGGGTTAAAACAATTACTGAAGTAATTTACATAATAGCAATAGCAAGTTTATTTCTATAAAACAAGGAACAGCCATAACAAATGATTAAGTGATAGTTTAAAGTATATATAACATTGTAATTAAACAGAAATTAATATTTAAAAAGATAAGGAATATAATTTAAAGTACATAAAATAAAGACTGTAAAAATATTGTAGCTCGATCATAGGCACACACCTGCATTTCTCTTTTTTTTACATTTGTTGCACATTCTGGCAGTTTGTTGCAGTTGCATGCAGAATAACAGCTACATAGGCATACAGCCAATGGTGGAACTAATTGAAATGTAATCTATTTATTTTGTGTTTTCAATTTCACATAAGATGTTTTTTAGTTTTATAGACTATTGTGACCTGTTGCCTTTAGGGAAAGTGTTTGTTCAGTGTTTGTACAGTTTAATATGTTCTTTTATTTATTTTTTTCAAGTTTGGCAAAGTTGCCAGTGGGCAAAATGCTCCCTCAGTCCCCAGCAGGAGGACTGTGTCCGTCTTGGACTCGTTTACTGCTGGTGTATTAGTAAAGATTGTCAATGTGCAGTCACAAATGTTAATATGAAATTTACTTTATTTTACTGACAGATGTAGATTCTGGTTGAATATTTATCTGTGTTATTTTTAACTGTTACACTAACCCAAACACAGCTTGATATCTATCTATCTATCTATCTGACATTAATCTATCTATCTGACATTAATCTATCTATCTGACATTAATCTATCTATCTGACATTAATCTATCTATCTGACATTAATCTATATCTGACATTAATCTATATCTGACATTAATCTATCTGTCTGACATTAATCTATCTGTCTGTCTGACATGAATCTATCTGTCTGTCTGACATGAATCTATCTGTCTGTCTGACATGAATCTATCTGTCTGTCTGACATGAATCTATCTGTCTGTCTGTGACATGAATCTATCTGTCTGTCTGTGACATGAATCTATCTGTCTGTCTGACATGAATCTATCTGTCTGTGACATGAATCTATCTGTCTGACATGAATCTGTCTGTCTGTCTGACAGATTCACATATTTCAGACTACCAAGCACAAAATCCAGCAGCGTTTGTATGCAGATAAATTACTATATGGTTTATATTGCCTCAAGAAAAACATAAATATATGTATGATTAGATGATGTTGATTTGAAGCAAGAATCTTGCAAAATCTGCACAGCTATAGTAGAGTTATTTCATTCCTTCCATCAGCAGGTGTGTCCTCCATCAAACCCTTGTTTCCCTCCTCTTCTCTCACCCCCTTGAAGTGCACTCAATCTTTCGACCTGATGAAAGGAATGAGTGTCAGTAAAAAGAAGAGAAAACATGACGAATCAGAAAGAGCACAAACGGGGAAAGGGAATGCGTTAATCACCTCTTTCAAACACCTAAAAGTCTCACCTTTGTTTCTATCCAAAGTAAAGCAGAGAAGGACCAAAAGAAACTAACACAGACACCCTGTGTGATCTCCAAAATAAGAAATTGAAATGCTCACTGACTGTCTGTCTGATAAGACCAATCAAAGTGCAAAGTCAAACAATTTAAACAGCAAATCGAGTTAATGAACATTCAGAGGAGGATGTTGTGGATAAAAAAGTTATCTCGATCAAAGGCAGCGATCATGGCAGGAGCTGACTAAAGATAGACGGCCTGTACAGAGGGGGAGAAAAGAGCCATTATCCTATTTTTATCTTTTTTTTTTTTTTTTTTTTTTTTTTTTTTTTTTTTCTCCAAATTCAAAAGCACACTAACTTCTCCACAGATAGGCAAGACTAAAACTCTACTCTGAGTGTTTGCCCACATAAGCTCAGTGGGATCACCCTCTCCGTTTGTTCATGGCAACACTGCACCAATGTAAAGTAGCCCCAAAATCTAGGCCGGAGGCCCGTCTGAATTTTAAGCGACCTATTTGCCCACTTGTGTGTCCCTGCACATCTCCCTTCTCCTCGCTCCGTCAGACCTCTAGGGCTCGCTTATTTAAGAGGACATACACATATCAAGGGCCTCCTTTCACTGAGGCCCTGGGACAATATTTCTTATTTCCCATCTGGCAGGACAAACCCGCCCCCTGACACCTCCTCGCTCTATATAAGACAGCAAAAGGGCCAGATGATAAGAACCTGGTCTCAAGACAAGCCTGGCCATGCGGTGTAAAGTCCTCGCCTATGTCGTCCTCCTGACTCTCATAAAGCATGGTGAGTATTGTGTCATTACACTCTCAGGCCAGTTACAAAGACTGCATTGATGTTTCTTCACCTAATGAGCTGAACAGGTGAAATTATAGATATTGATACTGAGCTGTTTGAGATTTCTCTGAATTTGAAGGCTTGTAACAGGAGTGTTGAACAGTTCCCAATGCAAAGCATTAGTTTGTGTCTTTCAGTGGTTTACTTGGTGGGAGTTAGAATAAGTGTAAAAGTACAGATGTTGGTCATATTCAGATGTGTCAATGTCAACATTTACTTGACCTTTTATTTTGGGTTGATTCATGGTGTACAAGTATCTGAACATTATGTGTAGAAGGTCTGAGCAACATAACGCATAAAGTAAATGGGACTGTTTTATAATCATATTAAATTTACAAGATAACCATTCAACTAATTCATTGTTGCAATGTCAATGCTTTTATCCATGTTGTCCAGCCCCACAGTGTAATAATTCACATGCGCTGAAAAATTACAAAAGCTAAGTAATTATTTAGAAGTGAAATCCTTGTTTACATACAAGTTGGCACACTTCTCTGTCTACCTTACCTATGTTGTCATGTCTAGGTGATTTGGGATATGATCAATACTATGGTTGCAAGCAGTGACAAATATATTGTCATTATCAGACATTCTGTATTTCTTCCAAACTGATGTAATATAGGCTCAAGTTCTCTGATTTGACCTAAATGTTTTGAATTACTTTAATCAATTCGGACCACAAGTGTTGCTTCGTTGGTGGATTAGCATGATGTTTGACTATTTGTACTTTTGTAGCCAAAAATACACACCAAAGCAGAGCATTGGTTGCATCTTTATTTAAAAAATCTCATTGTTGTCTTTCCTGTCAACCTGCTGTAGTCGGCACATCTATCACACTTAACAAGAGGTGCAACATAAACACTTCACACTGAATAAAGCTTTCCATTGCTTGACTCTATACCTGCCCACAAGTATTTATTGTACTAGTTACTAATTAAGCTGATTGGTTGGCCAGACGGGACTCAAAGGCTTTATATTTACTCTGATTGAAGGAGGTATACTGAGTTTACTGATTTACGGTTGGGGATGAAAAGAAAGAATGTGCAGCGGAAAATTTCATGAAACTCAAAGCCCTGACAGAAAGTTCCTTATCACTTTCAGTTTTTTGACATGTTAAAAAAACAAACTTGAGAAGGCTACATTTTGCCCAATCTCAAGCATGCATTTGTTCCTGTATTTTTCTAATGGCAGATATTAAGTGATTGAATAAAAAAAAAATAATGGGCTTAAAGGGAGCTATAGCCTTGTGGGTAATTACATTACATAGTGGTACTGTGGGTTTATGTATTTTGTGATAAAACACTGGAATGTTTGTTATCCGTTTAACACACAGTAGTGTAAGTAAACACAGAGGTTTCAGAGTCAGCTATAGGACCCAGTAATGGTATTAACACAGCAATATCTATCTAAAGGTTTGCTCACAGTAGCTACTGATCACAGCAGACCAAGTAAGACTGTGGAAGCAAATTCTTGACTTTATTTAACCGAATCAAGGTGGTTTTTATTTCTTATGGATTCAAACTTTCATTTGTAAGAGGATTAAAGCGTCATTTCTACTTTCAAAAGACAGTGTCGCATGTTAGCTTGACTCGGGTCATAAAATATCTTAAACAATTAATAAAATACATTTAGCTTAAAACTGCATTTGAAGATCGTTAACCAAATATTATAGGCACATTTCACTAAAAGGTCTCATCGTAATCTCACAGGACCCCCCCATATGTTGCAGTAGGAAGCATCAATGAGCTTCTTATTTCCTCTCCCTCTAAACTGTCTTTCTCTGCCCACAGTGTCTCCAAGTGAAATACAGGCCGGCCCAAATACAAATGCAACCCTCCCCTGCAATGTGATGCTCCCGCTCCCTGTAAACGAGTCTCTCCTCGAAGTCAACTGGATAAGTAACGGCTCCGACATCGCCTCATTCAGAGAAGCAGCGACGCACATAAAGGAAGGCCTCAGTTGGGACAGCAGCAATTTCGTCAACGGGGACTTTTCGCTGACGGTCCTCAGAGCCGCTCTCGACCTGCAGGGGGTGTATGAATGCACGGTCAGCTACAACTCCACAACGCTGCACTCCAACATTACATTTAGCATCCTCGGTATGTCTTTGTGCAGTTGTTGAGGTTTGATTTGAACATTTAGGTTCACATTTCAACATAAAAGCAGGTACAAAGCTCAACCTTTCCCCCTCAATTTAATTTGTCTTCTTTTAGCTTCCCCCACTCTGTCAGTCCCTCAGCAGTGGGTGGTGTTGGAAACAGAGAGCCAGCTTAAATGCCATGCAGACGGTTTCTACCCTCCTCCTGTCTCTTTCTCCTGGACCAGAGATGGGCAGGTGATTCAACCTCCCTATGATGTTGAAGGTGAACAGACTCCAGATGGGTACTATATGGCTGTGGGCAACATGACCCTCTACCCTTCCCGCGAGGACCAGAATGTGACCTTCGGCTGCAAAGTGTCGCACAAAGGCAGCAATCAAGACCTGGATTTCCAACTCAATATCACGTGTGAGTGACGCAAAGACACCGCATGACTTTGAACACAATCACTCATCACATTTTTATGTAGCGCCAGAATAGCTACTTCCGTCAACCTTTTCTTTACAAATGGTGTCAACAACTGCATGAAGCCAAATATTTTTAACGTTTTCTTTGTCACTCCTCAGACACTCCTTCTGTTGGACTTTCCGCCTTGCCTTCGCGCCCCGGGAACACTCCTCTCACTCTTTACTGTGATGTGGAGAGTTTCTACCCAGAGGAAATATCTGTGTCCTGGGTTCAAAACGGCACGGCCCTCCCTGAGCCCCCCGCCACTGAGCAGAACCCAGATGGGACCTACAGAACCAGACACTACTATACGTTGAGCCCTGAGCAGAGGGAGCGAGGTGGGAAGGTGGAGTGTGCAGTAAACCAACCTGGGGTAGTGCAACCAGTCAGTGGCTCAGAGCACCTGGAGAAACTGGACCCCCAAGGTATATGTTTGACAAGACAAGGTTTTCTAAGAGATGACTCCGGGTACAATTCACACCTCTTTTACAATATTTTTTTCACTTTGAATGATGGTTTGATGGATAAATTCCTGAAAATCAGATGCTGGAACTGCAAAAACAAACAAAAAAAAAGTCTGTCTGTCTAACAACAACAACACATTGATGTGCTACGTGTGGAAGCGGCACTATTATTAGTAACTTGTTTGTCCTGTTCTTGATGCTTTCACGCTGTACTTCAATTCACATTCAATTTACATTTTTCTCACACTGTTCCCTCTCAGATGAGACTCCGGTGTTGACGAAATCAGCCAAAGCATCTGTGGCGATGATGTGTATCTCTATTGTGCTGGTCTTCCTGCTCTGCTTTGGCTTTTCTTGGAGGAGAAGGGATGGTGAGTCAGCGGGCATACATGCATGCCACTGTGACCCCGTAAAGGAAGTAAAGTCTTCTCGTGATCCTCGACACAAGTTATGCCATAGTATCGACAGAGATTGTTTTTACTTGTTCTGGTTTTATTTGAAGGCTTTTTAGAGGCCCAGAGAGGAAAAATATATTTGAATTAAATTCTTCACAAAGGAAAGGAAAGTGTTCAATGATTGAAAAATATAAAGAAACTTTGGGATAACAAAATCATGTTGTGACCGCTCAAATTTATCTTTGGACTCCGTGTGGGGTCTTGACCCACACATTCCATAAGATCTACAGATATGTAAAACACAAGTGAATAAAGTTACTAAAAAAAGGACCGGCCGATGCAATGTCTTAAGAACTTGAAACCGCAACGCTTCTGTCCTTTTTATTGAAGTGTCGCATCACTATCAATTACCATCTTAAGTACAGACACAATGGGTTGAGCACTTGAACCAGCAGGTTGTGAGGAATGCATTCACTGGATTAAAATGCTGTCGGAAATGTTGTCCTCAGGCCACCTTTCTTCCCTTTTGTCTCACTGACTCGTTGATCTCCATTCTTTCTCCCCTCACTCAGAGAAACAGAAGTCTTTGAATGTGTCAGGGATCATCCTCCCGCCACGCGTAATTGTAGGTCACAAGGGCAGAGTGACCGTGAGCATTGAGGGCAGGAGGGTGGACCGAGTCCAGACGGCATGGTTCCTCGATGACACCCCGATCTTTGACACTTCTCTCACAGGTAGGAGAGCTGGACACATCCACATAACCAGCAGTTTGCTGGGGAACGCGTCTTTGACCCAGTCTGACAAAGTTTGACAGCATGATTTTGTGACCCAACTCTGACCCAACTCTTCTGCCACAGAACTAAATTATGAATTCTAGTGGAGATCACAAAGTTTGTATATGATCACTGTCAGACTGTGGGAAAAGATCATTTTTCCAACCTTAAAGAAATAGTTAACATTTTGGGAAATATGTCTTTTCGCTGTCTTTAAAATATCTTTTATTTGTATTGCAACTACCCCTAAAACACACCATGTTTTCTCTTTCACGCTAACAATTTACAATCTTGCACACATAGGAACCTCCAAAGCTAACTTTAACTGCCTCTATAACCCCCTAACTACCATCCATCTGCCCTACGGTCTAACTCTCACCTCCCCAGCGTCAGAGAACGGCCCTCTGCTTCCCTCCAGAGGCGAGATGGGTTACTACAAGCTGCACACTCAAGGCCCGCTGCACTCCTCTGGAAGTGGCACTCAACAGCTGATCTCCTCCCTCACCTTCATTCCCCGGATTTCAGTCCACAAGGCAGCGGTGTTTAAGTGCCAGGTGTCCTACATGGGCAAAGATAAGATCGTGGTGGAGAGGGTGTCTGAGAAGTTTACGATCCTGTGTAAGAAGAGATCTTCACTTATCCACTTTCCCTCTGTTTTTTTTATTTTATCATTATCACAATTTAAGAAATAGACATTTTTTAAACTTTGTCTTTTAGCTGCTCCAGAAGTGTCAGAAATCCAGCTGGCAGAGACTCCAAGTAACTCTGGTAAGGCAGACAGATTATCGTTCAGCTGTAGTTCAATACATTATGAAAAACATTGATTGTGAGAGGCTACCTACATCCACGCAATTTCTGTCTGCCAGATGTCATCAGCATGACTGTCCAGGCATCACATTTCCATCCGGACGTCATAACCTTCCGCTGGTTCTGCCAGGGGAGTGAGCTGAGCCCTGTGGCCTCCCGGGCCTCGTCCTCTCCTCGACCCGATTCTGAAGGCTTCTTTGCAGCCTCCAGCCAGTGTAAACTGCCCCGCAGTGAACTGGAAAAGGGAGGCACTAAAGTGTGGGTCAGTGTCCACCACATCGCCCTGAAGCAGCCGGTCACCCGCGAGACCAGGGGTAAGAAAAAGGGGGAGGGAGGGAGGGAGGGGGGGGGGAGGCATGCAAACTAATGATTTGTTAAAAAATGAAAGCTTGAATTTCCACTTTATCCCAAATAGGATTCATCAATAGGCCGTGTGTGTCCGAAATCGTTGGCTCCGGTTCTTCGCCAGGGCAGACTTTGACCCTCGGATGTGAAATCACAGATTTCTACCCTCCGAACATAACAGTCACCTGGCTGAGGCTCCGAGAGGGGGAGCAAGATGACCGAGAGGAGGAGGTGATAGAGGGAGAAGAGATGTGGGGCCCCGTACAGACTCATCCCAGACTCTTCAGGGCAACAGCCACTCTGAAGAGAAAGGCAACAAATCAGGAGAAAAGGGAGAGAGGAGGAGGAATTATTTGTAGAGTGGAGCACTGCTCCCTCCAGGAGCCTGTTGAGAAACACTGGAGAAACGTTGACATCGGTATGAATCATTATAGACGCAACAGCTTTTGGATGTTATCTTTATAATATGGAGGATATTCCTACAATATCTTAACTTATGGAAAATGTATTCCTTTGCATTCACTTACTCTTTCTGTTGTTTTTCATTCAGTTGCTCCCTCCATTCCTCCATCGCTCTCAGTCTGTTGGAGCAGTGAAGGGGTCGGTGTGTTCTCCCTCCTGTTGAAGGGAGGTTACCCTAAGGTGAAATTACTCTGGGCGGCGGGAGGACCCACTCTCTCACCATTGGTTTCCAACGAGACAGAGGAGATAGGAGATGACGGACAGAGGGAGCTGAAAAGTGTGTGTGCCCTGGAGAGGTCCACAAGCCTGCCAAGTCCGACAAACAAACAGCTGGAGAGACGGAAGAATGGACATGCAATAAGTACTGGTCATTACCGTATCTACATACGTCTTGTTTTAAATAATGGCAGTTCAGAGGAGCTTTTCTTTCCGTTCCACTAGCCTAAACCTCAGTGTATTTTCTGAAAGTTTGTAATACAACAATGTTACACATCAAAAGGAGCTCACTGTACATGAGGAGTATACTACTAACAGTTGTGTAATGTCTTCTGTTGCTCTGGAGGACCGACCTTAAAGTCGTGGGTTATTTGTGGCTTGGGTTTGGAGTCTACACGTTTTTTTAATGGGAAGCCTGTGCTACGAAGTCTGGGTGTTGGGTTTAAAAGACACAGGTAGGAAGAAGACCTGGTAGGGAGCGTGCTATGAAACATGCTATTTCTGTTGCATTGTGGGAACTGTAGGAGCCAGCATGTACATACTGGAGTTTGAGCCGTAATAGTCTGCATTGAGTTTAACCATTCTTTTGTTTGTCTCAAGACTTTCTATTAAAGTGCAACACTAAACCACTGAAATACCCCTTTATGAATGTTTCAGGAAAGTAGATTTGTTTTATTCAGCCCTTATTATTTCTCCTCCAGCAGTTTCTTTGAACTTATCAGGTTGGCAAAAAAAGTTGCATTATAAGTTGAAACTTAATGCTCCTCCTCGACACTGTTTTTTCCTGAACGTTTTTAACAAGTTAGTTGGTGTTGCACACCTCACACTGTAGCCACAGGGGTATGATGTGAAGACGGCTTAATCCAAATTACATCATGCAAACTGGCCAGTGCAGTATTCCTATTTCTTCATTTGTTACTGCTCTCCTGTTACAGAAACTAAAGCTGCCGTCACGGACCCCGACACTGACGGAATAGAATACATTGATGGAGATAATAACGACATTGACAGAGACGAGGAAACCAAGTCAGAAGTGGATGAGGACGAGGACAGCGACAAAGAAGGAGAGGAAGACCCGGGAGCACTGCACATCAACAGAGTCAACTTGAGGAAGGGCCCCAGAGAAAATGAGAGGCCGCGTTTGAGAGTCTGCGTGGAGATCACACACACTGCACTCAAGCTTCCTGTTTATCGAACCTGGACAGGTGAGACCCAGCATATAATAAACATACGTGTACATGCACACATTACGGAGTCGACATCATGAAAGACCCTCGCGAAAGCCAGGAGGTCTCACTGGTTGAGGGGAAGATTACCGATATGGCAGCTGTCATTTTGCTGAACAGAAAAAAAGTAAATGCGACACTCAACAGGAAGTTTGTTAATGTGTTTTTTTTTAACTTTATATTGTGTCCTCTTTCAGAGCCCAATGAGGAAATTTCATCTTCCGCATGAAAACCTTGATGTGTGCAAGAGTCCCTCTATTTCATATATGCCGTATAATACATCTAATATGTCTTTATAGTAGATGAGGAGTAGTCATGTTTTTAGGATATCCAACTGTTTTTGATGATGTGGTTTTGCATCCAACTTTTTACTGTATTTATTACCTTATATTTTTAATCTGTCATCCATTACTATTTTTTCCAAATTCATGATATTTACAAATGTTAATATTTTTGTACAAAGAATTTTACAATTATAATCCAGGTTTGTGGATTTCTTTTTTTAAAATCTGCTTTGGTAAATAAAATCTAATTACATTTTTTTTGGAGAGATGTCTTTTTGTCAGTCATTTTCTTTGTCAGAGAAAATTAGTCAACATTGTTCCTGCAGTTCTCTTCTGCTCAGTGTTCCATCTGTTGTTCAACCGCTGAGATGAGATCTCATTTTAGAATCATACTTCTGTTTTTTTCGTTTGCTGTTGCACTCTGACCACAGTTGAGTGTCACTTCACTGTGCCGAGCAGAGGAGGTGATGCGTGGTTGAACTGAGTAATTTAAGTTGTTTAGTTTAAAACCACCATGGCTGTCGACAGCATGAAACAAACAAGTTAAAAATAAATAAAACATCTAAATATCCATTAAGACAGAATCTCTTAATTGTAGAATCTATCTATTTTTTGCAGAAGAGTGACAACAAGTGGCAATAATGGTTAATGCTTGAAGTGTACTTGTGAAAAGTAATGTCAAGACACGCATGCAGCAATATGAGTTTGCCATTGAAGTCTAACATCATGGTCATACCAGGCCAGGTACGGTGGTCGCAGCAAAACCCCTCAGTGTATTGAGCTAAAAAAAAAAACGGTGTTTTAGTGCTTCTTCAACTCTTCATTTGTACAAGAATGTGTTACTTAAAAAAATGAAAGTCTGTTTCAAGCGCATCCTTAGGGTTTAAAGTGTTGTGTGCAATATCTCCAATTTGAACACCAGCCAAACAAATGCAACCCAGTCTGTTATGTGCAATTTAGGCTTGAGGGACTTCATAACAAGCGAGGTTGGCAAAGATTAACATGAGTTTGTTAATTGAGCGACGGCGACCATAACAGTCATGGAGACATGTTCTCAGAAGCTCAGTGTCACACATCAACTCACAAATCATCACGCACACTTTTGCGGCCTGAAGCTCGATGTGCACATCCGCAAACTGTGCAGCACGTACGTATGCTTGATGCACAGGCGACAGGCTGTGTTAATCACACTCTTCCTCATAATGATGCACCGGACATTTGTCTGTATGAGGAACTAGACGCGACTTTATCAGCGGAGTTGCCCGTCGCTGGTCGGGTTTTGGATGGAGCTTGCTGCAGGGTTTTTTTTATGGAAAAGTAAACTGCCAGGGTCGGTTAGAATTAGCCAGCGTGGTCACACCTAGAATACATAAAGTCAGATGGTCAGAGAGGCAACGAGGAGCAAGTTTTGAAGATGGACCCGGACGGTCCCCCCTCCAGGGTGGACAGGACTTTCTGGACAGTTTGGGTGAGCCGCTGCGCAATCTATAACCAAACGTGTTTTTAGATAACGGCTTTAATTTTAATGTTAAACGCAGTGAAATGTGGATGGAAAGTCTCCCTCCTCCTGTGTGTGTGCGTATCTCTCTCTCTCTCTCTCTCTCTCTCTCTCTCTCTCTCTCTCTCTCT